GTCTGTTGTGTACAGCATCTTGAGATGTGCTTGCATTTATACGCTGTATACTGTACATCCAATTTGTAAACATAATTCCCAGACTATTATCAATACATTTTATACGGGTTGACAGCCGGTAAAGAAGCTCTGCTTTAGCTCTAGGCCGACTAAAACTTGTTGGTGGCTAATGTATTGTACTGTTTAAAATAGAATTTCGTATTGTCTTCTCTTTTTTTTGAATGCACATTATGTACTCAATTTCGCGGTAAGGCTAAATTCAGTCAAGCGAACACAATTGTCCCGAAATTTAAAGTGAGCCTTGACAAAACGTGTATACTTTATCGGATGGTACACGGATGAAAAGGTACTTATTACAGCCAATGACTCAGCTCATAAACTGAAACGTACCGGGCTCCCTACCCGTTCATCTACCTCTGATTTTTGTTTTTACACAAAAAACACAGCATATTCCCACCTGTTGTTTTTGGTAAGCCGTATCCTGCTGAATCTTGGACTCTAGAAGCACGGAACCTGAAAATATTTAACATGAAGCGATCGTTGATTAGGACAATAATGATGGTAATAAGTTAACAAGGCAGTAAGTAGTACACGGCACAAATGACTACACAATTCACCAAGCGCCAGGGGACCAGTGGACGGTTGCATAAGGTACCTTAAGTGACCTAACCCTTCTCAACTTACACTAATTAAAATGGCAAACTACGATAAAATGTAGGTGGTTTATGCAATCAACCACACGAGTAAACACTTTTGCAGCAATGCATTTTGAAACAATACAGCACGAATGGTTATCAATACTCCTTAATATAATCACGGACCGATCACCACACGGCTTACAACTCCTGCGACATTATCAAAAAACGCAAAGACACCACAGCCTCGGCTTTCATAGCAACGTTACACATTGTTCAACACCGCCGCGATAAACACGGAAAATAATAAAAAATATTTCCACAAAACCGCCCGCGGCCTACCGCTATCACGCACACACCGACCCTCGGCTAGCGGCACCGCGGGAGGCCCTCACTCGGGTTCCCGGCGGCCGCGTCAGGAGAGCAGAGGGGGGCTCTCGCATTCTAACAAAAGACCTCGGATATTTAAAAAAATAATGACAATGTTTCGCCCGCGAGCAGCAACACTCTGCGCATAAGGAATTAATCTTTAATGAAAACAACAAATACCGTCCGATTCGGCGCGAACGAGCAGGGACATCCCCTTGAGCCGCTCCACGTAACTCGAGGAGACGTGTCCCGTGCCCCGGTCGTCCCACTGCCGGTCCTCGTTCAGCGTGTACAGCTTCACACGCCTCCTCGTGTCCATGGCGTCGCCTTCTCGTCTCGTCGCTCGTCGCGACGGCAACCGCTGTCGTCGGTCCGCTTGTCGTTCGCGGCGTCGTTCGCGCTCAGACGTGAGGGCCAAAACGACGAAGACGACCCCGGGCCGCTCACCACGGTCGCGCCGCCATCTTGGCGCCTCGGCCTCGGCCGCTTCATCACGGCCCCCCCCACCCCCACCCCGCGGGGTTTCCCGGCCCCGGCGGCAGGGGCGAATTGGCGGGACATTCAAACTGCCGGCCCGCTGGTGGCCAATGACGTAGGGGGCACGACGGGATTGGTCAACGGGGGGGAGGGGTACGACGGGGTTGGTCAAGGGGGGGGGTTGGTCAAGGGGGGGGGGGAGGGGGGGGCACGACGGGGTTGGTCAACGGGGGGGGGGTAGGGGGGGTTGGTCAACGGGGGGGGGGTGCACGACGGGGTTGGTCAACGGGGGGGGGGTAGGGGGGGTTGGTCAACGGGGGGGGGCACGACGGGGTTGGTCAAGGGGGGGGGGTAGGGGGGGTTGGTCAATGGGGGGGTGCACGACGGGGTTGGTCAACGGGGGGGGGGGCACGACGGGGTTGGTCAACGGGGGGGGGGGCACGACGGGGTTGGTCAACGGGGGGGGGGCACGACGGGGTTGGTCAACGGGGGGGGGGGTGCACGACGGGGTTGGTCAACGGGGGGGGGGGGCACGACGGGGTTGGTCAACGGGGGGGGGGGGGGCACGACGGGGTTGGTCAACGGGGGGGGGCACGACGGGGTTGGTCAACGGGGGGGGGGCGCGACGGGGTTGGTCAACGGGGGGGGGCACGACGGGGTTGGTCAACGGGGGGGGGGGTGCACGACGGGGTTGGTCAACGGGGGGGGGCACGACGGGGTTGGTCAACGGGGGGGGGGGGCGCGACGGGGTTGGTCAACGGGGGGGGTGCACGACGGGGTTGGTCAACGGGGGGGGGGCACGACGGGGTTGGTCAACGGGGGGGGTGCACGACGGGGTTGGTCAACGGGGGGGGGGCACGACGGGGGTGGTCAACGGGGGGGGGGGCACGACGGGGTTGGTCAACGGGGGGGGTGCACGACGGGGTTGGTCAACGGGGGGGGGGGCGCGACGGGGTTGGTCAACGGGGGGGGTGCACGACGGGGTTGGTCAACGGGGGGGGGGGCGCGACGGGGGTTGGTCAACGGGGGGGGTGCACGACGGGGTTGGTCAACGGGGGGGGGGCACGACGGGGTTGGTCAACGGGGGGGGGCACGACGGGGTTGGTCAACGGGGGGGGGGCGCGACGGGGTTGGTCAACGGGGGGGGGTGCACGACGGGGTTGGTCAACGGGGGGGGGGCACGACGGGGTTGGTCAACGGGGGGGGTGCACGACGGGGTTGGTCAACGGGGGGGGGGCACGACGGGGTTGGTCAACGGGGGGGGGGGGCACGACGGGGTTGGTCAACGGGGGGGGGGCACGACGGGGTTGGTCAACGGGGTCAACGGGGGGGGGGCACGACGGGGTTGGTCAACGGGGGGGGGCACGACGGGGTTGGTCAACGGGGGGGGTGCACGACGTGGTTGGTCAACGGGGGGGGGCACGACGGGGTTGGTCAAGGGGGGAGGGGGGGGCACGACGTGGTTGGTCAACGGGGGGGGGGCGCGACGGGGTTGGTCAAGGGGGGGGGGCACGACGGGGTTGGTCAACGGGGGGGCACGACGGGGTGGGTAACGGGGGGCACGGCGGGGTTAGTAAACGGGGGGAGGGGGGGCACGGCGGGGTGGTCAGCGAGGGGCGCAATGGGGTGGCTAAGGGGGGCACAACTGGGTGGTTATCGGGGGGCAATGGGGTTTGGGGTAGGCAAATGGAGCCCCCCACCCACCCCCGCACTTGGGAATGATTGGGGCCCCAATATTGCCAACTTCAAGATTTTGTCGCTGTGTGATTTGTTTGTTTTCGCGTGGGTGAGAAATGTTCAGACCTGAAGCTGCTGTATAAGGGTGAGCCGGGGGAGGACCTTGGTGTATGTGTGCACTATATGTTGGACTTCTTTCGCACCGTACGTGTAAAACAAAGTGACGGCCAATAACCCGTAAACACTGCAAACGCTGAATTGCAAACGCATCGGAGGAGAGCAACACTCAAACCACGCACAATTCAAGTAACACCGGCAGGCAACACAGAAATATATAACTCGAGAGGAGTTGGTTCACCACAATGTTAAGGAAGGAATTTTAAAAAGGTCACGGAAGGAAGTTTTTTGGCGAGATTTATGGGTTTGCCTCACGACGAAGTTTGTTTTCAAACTCGTGGTGACAAATACGGTACCGCACATTTCTGAAACCGAGGGCGTGCACATTTAGTTAGTAGTGTGTATGGCTATGCATTTAGGATTCTGTATGAGGTTACTATGTTTCATACTGTGTGTTGACAAGTGTTGTTGACTTCAGGTGTAACGAGCAACATCTAGCCACGTTTTGAGGTTCGTTTGACAACTTTAAAGCCTTCAGCAGTTGGCAAAATTGGCTGGGGGTGAATGAGGGATACGGTGTGGGCTTAGTGACTTTGGGTGACTGAACTGAATGAGATGCACAGATGACTGGAGTGTCTGATGTCATCCCTTAGGCTGGTTGCAAAAATAAAACACCTTCCTGGAAATGTTTCTTAATTCATCATCGAAGACAATATAACCATGGAGGCCAAACTGCAGGCCTGCAATCAACATGTCGCTCACGGACAGTTTATAAGTGAAGCTCGATAAATAAGAAGTGGATTTTATAACTTTTGTATTTGAGACAGCAAAAATATATATCTGCACTTGCTCCCTGGCAACAGAGGCAGACACGCGTCCTCCTGGAGCGGTCACACACACGTTTCTAAATTCAAAAATCCACACACCACAGCACAGCCAGCCACGAGCGAAGTGACCGCGTTACCACCATGCGTTGTGGCCACGAGTACATTTTGGAATGCGTCTCATAGGGTCCGGAAATGCGGCCCTTCTGCAAAAAAAAGATGTGAAAGAGAAGACGAGAGACATGTGATGTTCTATGGGACAAACATTAAGTGGCTGGGGTGACCAGTGTGGCCTTGACTGGCTGGTGTGGTTACAGGGCAAAGTTCACAAGTCATGCATCTGGGCCTCACTCATTCAGCGTGTTTCTCACGTTCTCATGGCAATAATGCCGATTCTACATTTTCAGAAAGTGGAAACTGGTAGTAAATATCAAACATTGAATTCCATCTCTCACATCCCTTGATATAGCCAATCTTGTGGATGAGCCAGTTCCAGGCTAAAAGCTCCTGTGGCTGGTTGATGTACCAAGTGGCTGGGGTATTCTCTGTGACCAGTGTGGTCCGTGTGGCTTAACATTATTGAGGTTGTCAGTGTGATTTGGGTGGAGAGGTTTAGGTTGATCATCTGCGTGGCCCTTGCGGTGACTGAGGGATATTCGGTGAAATGGGTTTTGGGTGTTCCTCTTGGTCTGAGTGACATGGGTTTATTGGTGTGGTCAGTGTGGTTTTTTTTCATTCAAGGAGCTCACTTTGAACCAGATTATAGCTGGGATGGCTTGAACACAAGATAAAATCATAATTTTTCCAGTTAAAGCAGACATGTCCCGATTAATCGGTCCATCGTGTGTAAAATACAGCACGGATAAGAATAGCAACAATAGTACTGAACATGTCGCAAACATTATGAATAATTGTTTTATTCAAGTGTTGACCACTTTTGAAAAAAATATGTCACAACACCTCATCCACAGCAGCAGTGTACATCAAAATCTCCCCCCACAGTGCTCCATGGTACACCCTGATTTAATCTAATTTCTAACACCGTTTCACAACTGAAATCTCCAAAACAAGTTAACATTTCAGACCAATGTGCCTTGACAGCAGAAACGTGACAAACATTTTCAACATTAGCAATGTGGTAATTTAACAATAAAGATTTGAACCGTGACATTTAAAAAGACACGTTTGGTACATGAACAATTACGAATCAGTACACATTATGTAACTAATAAATCCATGTGCAGTTTATAACATATTAGAGTATCTCTTACCGTGCAAATAAATTCACGGATTTTATAGTTCAGATGGGAACAAGTGCGACATTAATTTATTGGTTCTTCCCGTACAGCAACAAACAAGTGAAGACTGCCACATAAACCATTTATGAGGCAACCAAGACCATTTATCCAAATGCACAAAGTAACTATAAAACAATGTGCGGTTCACTCAATAACGCTTCAACCGGAAGCTTTAAATGTACACTGCTACACAAATCTCACGTAGTTGAATCGCAAACATAACTACCACATACAAGCTTTCAGCCTCAAATCCAAGTCGTGAAATAACCAATAATATCTTTAATAAACACATACACACAAACCCCGCAAGCAGTTGATATATAACAATTTCATTCACATTCTTTTGTAATTTCAGTTGATATATGTACAGAGTATATTCTTTATTAAAATACTGAGCGACAAGCTAACACAACCACCGGCAACAAGAACGTTAACCCATATTATTTTCTTGACCAAACAAAGTATGTGGACATACTGGACATGTGAAAAAGAGCTTCATAGCTCATCAGATTGCTCCAGTCTCAAAAAAAGATTCTGATTCTGATGTGCGGGAACAGACACCCTTAGAGCTCAAAAAACATTCCAGAGGCCACAACAGGTTTTACAATCGCCTTCGCAAGTCCACAACCAACCAATAAATCACTCAACTTGGCAGGAAACAATCATTCGGACCCCGGCAGTCCCAACATTCTTGAATGGGGATAACAGTCCATTAAGTGCGCGATGAAAAAAACAATATTTTTACTCCAGGCTGAATCTGCTGTAGAAATCAGATATTCATGCAGAATATATTTTGACAGAGACGGCCGAGGACGAAGGTTGATGCCCACATATCCAGCGGCGAGAGAAGAGTGGACTCCAGGCGAATGAGTTTGACAAGGAAGAGCAACATGAGGTTTCAATTATTCTGCTGTGACCACATTTGGCCACCAGTCCCACGATGTAACACCGCAGTGCGGGGGTGGGGGGTTCGGCAGCGCTACTTGTCAGCCTGCATGGCCAGGGGCCTGTCTCCGGTCATGGAGATGGATTGGCGGTCTCCGAGCGTCTTCGCAGGAGTTTGGGAGCCCATCGCCATGAGCACCTTGCGTGAGAGACGCATGCGGCCGTCCGTTGGGTCCCTCCCAAAATACTTTACCTGCCGGAATGCGAGACAAGGTCAGGGTTCTACGGTGGCATGACCATCGGAAGGGCCGCACTAACTAGAAGACGCAACCCCAAAAATCCAACGGCTTTTGTAGATACACACCGAGGCTGTGTGTCGAGGGCTCTCCATCATGAGTTTGAAGCTTCATCAAAACATAAAAGGTGCAAACCTGCCATGTCTTGCTCATGCCATTGATGGCAGAAGGGCCTTGACTATAGGGAGTTCAAGATGGTTCCTCTGGAGGGTATTTTGGCTGACTTCCACGCTGGCCTGAGGGCTTTGAAGAAATGGGAGTACCCACAATTTACCCCATCACACTGCCGATCGCCTGTGGTGAACCCATTTACACGGCTGGGTGAGAACTGTGGGACCCTTTATGTCTCTTCTTGGTTCTTTCGGTAAAGTCACGTAGAACGGAGATAATAAAATAATAAAAATAAAACAATAAAATAATACAATTATCACGACGTTTCGGCCACAACGCAAGCAGCCGTCCTCAGGTGAAGAACAGGTCTGTCGGAAAGACAGCGTCTGTCTTATTTGATTGTTTTGTTTTTATTATTTTATCATCTCCCTTCTACGTGACTTTACCGAAAGAACCAAGAATATGAATCCCTGCAGTCACGAAAGCTTTAAATCGAAATTTAACCCCCTTGATGTCTCCTTAAATCCTCGCTTAATCTCAAAAAAATTATTCAGAAAGGTCCTGCACCGGGAAGTTTGGCCAATTAATTATTAAAGAGCGTTTGGCTTCACGTCAGAGGAAACCAGAGTGCCAAGACAAGAGAACAGGGCTCACCTGAATCTGCTGTCCCACCTCAAGGTTGAGCGCACTGGGATGCTGTATCTGCACACACACACACACACACATGCGCAGTGCACAATAAATAACACCAAGTTTCACCGACAAAGTCGAGCACCACAATTCACTTTCCGCCACGGTCCAAGACGTTGGTAATAGTAAATAATAATAACGACCTGCAAAGACTCACTGGGTCTCGCGATTATTTAATTCTGGCTGGTCCTGCCTCCATTGTGATGTTGATTGGAATTGCGTGGGAGGAAACCGGAGTGCGCGAAGACAATCCATGCACGCAAGCGAGTGACACGCGACACTGCCAATTTCTGACCACCTCGCAAGCCCCACACAGCTGGTAAGCCCTGATCGTCACTCACCCATCCCCGCATCGACCTGGCCCAATGCACCCATTTGTCATTTGGTAAAATGCTAAAAATATATTAACGGTGTAAAAATAATACATTTGTACGCAATGATCGCTGAACGCACCCGTCTCTGGTCAAGCTGGGAGTTGTGCAGAAGCACGGGAGTCATGTTGGGGTACAGTTTCACCATCACACCGGAATCCCTGTGGCGATGAGAGTGGAAGAGAACGATGGTCAGGCTACGATTGGAAAAACAGTGCCAAACGAGCACGAATGTTCGTACTGGATGTTAAGTCATGTTCCAAGAGTAAATACAACATTTGGGAAGTGTTCTTTCTGCCATGATGCACCTCAAAAATGGAATAATATTCCAACTCTTTTATATTTTCATAACTATTCCTTCTACGTCAGAATTTAAACATAAAATCACATTTGTTAATTGGTCACTATAGTAACTTACTTATTTACCCAATCCGAAGACTCGTTTTCAGGAGGGTTCCTGCTACATTGGGATGTTTGGCCAACACAAATGACATTGTATGTTGTTTGCTATGAATTTAAAGCGTTCCCCTGTACCTTAACACTTAATTAAAAAATATATATTTTCCCACAGTACTAAGTTGAATGTGTATGTTTAACTAGTATTATCGTGAATAATTAATGTATTAAGGTTTTGTAAAAGGCTATCGTTGACCTTTCAACAGACAATTACTAGAATTCTATGTTTGACCCAGATGTTCTTTGAAAGTTATGAGCTCACCTGACTATAAAATGTATCCAACTCAAAACTGTTCATTAATGTGCAGATCAGCGATTGAGCATTCAAAATAAACTAATTTTATCCAGTCAGGGTTCAACTAGCACTCAATTCAGCACCGATTCTGTACACCACATAGACCACGGCCACGGGAGCAACGCACCTGATCTCCGCGATGGTTGCCGTGTAGACGGCACCAAACTCGAGCCGCTGCTCCTGCTGCGGGAGGAATCGCAAACCGTGAGCCACAAGATCGAGACCTGCGAGCAGCGACAAAACAAGCACCTCGCTCCACCGTCGCAAACGGCTCATCGTCTGTTTCTGGAAACCTTTATCGATCATTAAGCAATTTCTGTGCCACGGTATAAGCCAGGGGTCGGCAACCTGCGGCGGCTCTGGCTGCCCCCCTTGCAGCTCTTTGGCTGCCCCCTTGAGGCTCTTTGGCTGCCCCCCTTGAGGCTCTTTGGCTGCCCCCTTGCAGCTCTTTGGCTCCCCCCCTTGCAGCTCTTTGGCTGCCCCCTTGAAGCTCTTTGGCTGCCCCCTTGAAGCTCTTTGGCTGCCCCCTTGAGGCTCTTTGGCTGCCCCCTTGCAGCTCTTTGGCTCCCCCTCTTGCAGCTCTTTGGCTGCCCCTTGCGGCTCTTTGGCTGCCCCCTTGAAGCTCTTTGGCTGCCCCCTTGAGGCTCTTTGGCTCCCCCCTTGAAGCTCTTTGGCTGCCCCCCTTGAGGCTCTTTGGCTGCCCCCTTGAGGCTCTTTGGCTCCCCCCCTTGCAGCTCTTTGGCTGCCCCTTGCGGCTCTTTGGCTGCCCCCTTGAAGCTCTTTGGCTCCCCCCCTTGCGGCTCTTTGGCTGACCCTTGCAGGCAGTCGTTTTTTTCATTCTTAAACATAATTTAATGCAAAGATAATTAGCAATTTATTAAATATGACAGGGAATGGGTCACGATGGAATGTCTTCGTGACGACAAAATGTACATTTTTGTTAAAGAATAACTAAGGGGGTCAAAAGCGAAATAGACAGTTTATTCCATCACCTATGCTGTTTAAGCCAACATTTGTTTGTCATCTACTGTATACATGCTGCTGTGTTTGTGTACAAGTAGCTCTGCGTGTGATGCGGCTCTCGAACTATTTTGGCAAAGACAAAAAAATGGCTCCTCTTCTTTGAGATATTGCCGACCCCTTGGTCAAACCAGTACTCCTCCGGATATGAGTTACATGCAATGCGATACAGTTTACTGGGTGGCACGTTGCGCCATGAACCCGGTGACACTAGAGTTCAATTTCCTGGACACTCACGATCCATTGAACCGTATTGCGAGAATCAATTACTTAGCAATTTGTATAGGTTATATACGATTGGGTCACGTAAACCCTGCAGGCAATAGAGATTCCACAAGCTCTGAAATAGAAACATAGCAGTAATTAAAGAAATATATAAATCGGCCTGTGTCAATTTATCGAAAAACGGAGAGAGGGGAAAATGTCACAACTATTACACATCAATGCAAATGCATGTTCTTAATTTACCATTGCGATTGATGCCAAATCGCCACAATCAAATTGCGATTGGGGACAAAATGTCACATGGCTATAGTACACCAAAGACAACAAAGTTCTGAAATTATCCAGATGTCGAATCGCAACAATCCATTGAAAGATTGCAACAGGAGTGGGGAGGGCAAGTCAATGTTATGCACCAATGGCAAGGCAAGTCCGTAAATTTACGACCGCCAAAAACTCCGTCGTTTCCGACGCGGTGAGAGCTCACGTCGTCCTTGCAGATGTTGTCGATGAACTCGCGCGCTTCGTTCATGGCGTCGGGCGTGGGCGCGAACACGGAGTACGACTCCTCGTCCAGCTGGCTGATGGTGACGCCTGCTCGACGCAGTCGCGCGCAAGACACGGAGACCCCCCAGCCGCTCGCTTTAGCCTCGTTCACCAAGCTCCCATTAAAATGTTGGAGATATAAAGAATCGCCGAGTTCGTCAGATCTCTGAAGCCAAGCAGGGATTAGCCCGGGTCATGTTTAGATGGGTGTCCACCATGCACAAGCAGGTTGTTAAAGAGCCTTGGGTGCCTTACATGGTAGGCAACTAAGATTCCTTCCCCCGCATCTCCAATTAGCACGGTTGGCTACGTACGGTGAGAAATAAGTTCTACATACATAAATGTGAAGGCTCATGGTGGGCAACGAAGGCCAATGCAGAAAAATCCATTGATGAACTGAACTTCTATCCTCCCACCTTCACCAATGCCCATCGGCCAGCGTGGTGAAGGACGGTCAAACATTGCCCGCGACCCACACGGTGTGGGCGGGGCCCCATCCAGCAGTGGCTGAACAAACATCTGTAATTTAAAATTATTACCATTACACTTATTCACCCAGGAAAATCTGAATCTCAAGACTTATTTTCAGAAGGAGGCAATGTTACTATGTGTAATGCAAATTGAGTAATTTGTCGGTAACTCTTCAGAACTGGGATGTTTGGCCAATAATACCATTTACAAAGTATTGTGTTTTTAGCTACGTGAGGAAACCACAAAACCCAGAGAAAACGGATGTGAACAGGGGGAGAAGAGACAAGCTCCATACAGAGAGGTGCCCTCTAAACAGAGTGGGAAATCAAACCCAGACCATTCATGTTGTGAGACGCAAGTGTCGCCACTGCGCCACCCCCTGCCCTCTAAAGATGGGGCAACTCACCCGTCTCGGCCTGCAGTCTGTTTAGGTTGTACCCACCGGGCCCCACGAACCTCGACCTCTTGGACAAGGGCACCTGGATTGTGTCTGAAAAAAAATTTACAACAAAGATTAATGTAAAATATTTGAGCGGTTCAGTGGTTGGCGTACTTCACCATGAACCCAGCAACCAGAGTTTGATACCCAGGCACGATATTAATATCTGTGGCAAATATGCAAACCGGTCCTGACCAACTCACATTGACCCCCTCGAAGTATGGTCAAACCTCCCTAACCGACACAGCATGGGGTGGCCTTCTCATTCAGCCATGGACTGATAATGGGTAGTGACTTAATACAATTATCATTTAATTTTAACGATCCATAAGGTTGCGGCACTCATTAATTAATATACAAGGGGCATCTTTTAACTGTGGCGATTGAAGACGCATGGAGGAGACGCACAACGTGATGGCCTGATAATTTTCAGTCCGTCTCGGTCATTCCAATCCGAGGCGTTTACCATCATCCCAAAGCAGTGAACACTTATCGAGCATGAAACAGTGCGCCGTCCCTAACAACAGGGACATTAGTTCCACGTGCGCGCTCGCATCATGTGACGTATCACACACGTGTGGGTATTGAAGCAAATCGACTGGCTGAAATCCGGATTTACATAAATGTTTGCGTGGCACGAAGCGACATTGACAGCCGATGCTGGGACCTTACCGACAACGGGGCCACTCTCTTTGCGGTTGGGCCTGGGCTTGGCGATGGTGTTGTTCATGATTTGCAGAATCTCCGACTTTGCCACTGCCCCACAAATGGGTACATATATAATACATAGGGAAGATGCACACACACATACAGATATGAGCTTTATTTGTAATTTAATAAAGGGGCATTGGCCTTTGATGAAATCTTCCAGAATGCACCCGATCTTAACAAATCTCTGAAGCTTAGCAGGATGGAGCATAGATAGTATTTGGATGGGCAACCACCATATAGTACAGCTTTTATAGGCTTTGTTGCACTACACTTCTATGCTCCCTGCCTTGACCAACCCCCCACTGCCCAAAATGGTCCAATATATCCCCCACAGCATGGGAAAGTCCCATCTAACAGCGGATTAAGAGGCATCGATGAAGTGCCGTGCACATACAACAAAATGGTTAATTGAAAAATCAGTACCGCAATACTTTCATCACCAAACGCATGCGAGAGTACAGTACAGTGTTAGCAATGAATCACGATCACAAGCCGGAAGGGTGGCGACAGGCGAGTGGGAGTGCGGGCGGTGTAACAACGGCCGTGCAAACAGGATGGCGAGCCCCCTCACCCGTGGCTTGCTGGATGGCTTCCATCACCACCTTCAAGGGTATTCCTGGCAGCTTAATGTCAGCCTGAACACGGCGATAGACAAGCAGAGGGCATGCACAGCAGCCATGTAACAATGCAGTGAAATTCAGGCCTCACGTCATGTTGTAAATGACATGCAATGATTACATTTAGGGAAAATATTACATATAGGGCAAATGTGCATGCTTGTGGATGTGTGTTCGGGTGATCGTGTGTGTGTGTGTATGGGTAAATGAGTGTGCATGGTGAGTGTAAAGGTGTGCGGGAAGGCGGTCGAGCAGGTGCTATGGTCCCACCTGCAGGGCCGTGATTCCCTTCTTGGTTCCCGCGAGCTTGAAGTCCATGTCCCCAAAGTAGTCCTCAATGCCCTGCGAGTGACAGCACCCATCAACACACACAGCCACATTGTAATCAATGGGTGTAGAAAGCATTCGGCAAGGAAAGGGATGAATTCGCCGATCGGGAGGCCATCTGGAATGTTCTTCCTTCCGATATTAGGAAGCCATTGGGGAGCTGTGCACTTTTAAATCATCTAGATTGAAAACTCATTTCTTTAGAAGTGCTTTTTGTGTTTAGTTTGTTGTCCTTCCCCCGCACCTCCGATTAGCATTGCTGGCTAAGTACAGTGCAAAAGAAGTTCAACATACATTCATACAGGAGTTGACGGGAAAATTGCGACCGGGTGCGACAAAGCGCCGTCATCTGGAGGCCCGAAGAGGTCGAAAGGCATGGGGTCGGGAGGGCACAGGGTGGCACAGAGTCACGAGGACAGGGGGCACAGGGTCGGGTAGGGCGGGGCGGGGGGCAGTGGGGGGAGCGCGCAGGGCTCACCAGGATGTCGGTGAGGAGGCGGTAGTCCGAGATGTCCCGCGGATTCTCTGGGTCCATCTTCGCCACCAGACCCACGGCCACGCCCGCCACAGCGCTAGAGATCGGCACGCCTGGCGTGGCAAAACAAGAGGCACGGTACGGTACGGCACCGAACCGAGGGAAAACGTAGCCAAGGAACAGCGATGCCGATATGGGGGAAACGAAATGAGAAAGAAATAAAATACGGGAAATCAATAACTCGGCAAGCAGCGACCCATCGACTTATCGATCCTTATGCTCATAATTTACACGCCACCCAATCGTAAGGTGTGGAAATCCATGACTTACAATTTATGCAAATGGTATAGAAAAGATATGGTCATGGTACATTTAAGTGAGTGAAGAGATGATGCAAACGGGATTTTTGAAAAATGGGACAAAAATTATGCTGACTGGAATCGAATCATAGCCGTGAATCATGGAAATGGGAAAAATCGCCAGGCAAGGGGTGAATGGTTACACACGAAAAAAAAAATCTACTGGTCACTGTTAAGTCTGACAGTGCCAACTCAAAATAGTGATGAGTGGTGGCGCTCATCTCCTTTGGCGGTTCCTGAGCCAGTGGTGAAAATTAAATTTTTTTTAAAGGCAAGCACAAGTGTCCATAGGAGGATGACCGCTGCTGACTTGCAACAAAGTGGTACTGGTTTCATCAATGCCCAGGGGGGACGATGGGCAACTCTCCTATCCCAAGCTCACCAGCGTCCATCAGAGCGAGACTTCCTCCGCACACGGACGCCATGGAGGACGAGCCTGGACGGGACAAGCAGAGGAGCAGCGGGCGTCGAGGAACGTTAGAAATAAACGTCGACAAACGTCGACAAATGGACACAACGGAGGCGTGCCGGTGGCTCAGAGGTCAAACGATCTAATCAAATTTGAGTCATAGGACCCTCCACCACCAGACATAGCCAAACAATATTAAATCACCACGTCTGCAAGCATTCAACGTGCCAATGGTTATTGTTTGAGCACACCGGTAACATGAAGAACAATTCTCACAACGAAAGTTGGCAGATTTAGATACGCAACCAAACTCTCACAAAACCAATTTGCTTGGCCGTGTGTGGGGTGATGGAAGGCTTTTTATCGACATAAATACGTGGTCACATCTTTTCGTGGGCAAAAAAATAATATTCTAATTTTGAAACAAACGACAGTGGAGAAAAGGTGGCCATTCGTGTTCTCGCTAGCGCAGGGACCACCAGGGTGGAAGGAGGGGTGGGGAGGTTGCCCGTGTCACGCAGCCCTCCCCTCACCGTTGGATTCCAACACGTCGGACGTGACACGGATGGTGAAGGGGAAGTCCTTGGGGATGACGGGCCGCAGGCCCTTCTCCGCCAGCGCGCCTGGAACCAACGAGCCGCACGGGGTCAAAGGGCAACCCCCTCACCACATGGCGATGCAATTTCACAAGGCACTCTCTGTGCATGCACATTTATCTGGTGGTAGATCTGGGCGTGGCTGTATGACTGGACTTCTACTATTGCTGCTGTTGCAACTACTAATGCTCCCACTGCTGAAGTTGCTATCATTGATGCAACTGTTCCTGCTGCTGTGACTGCTACGACTTGCTGCCATTGTTATGGTTGATGTTGTGACTATTGCTATTACTGCTCCTGCTACTACTGCTGCTGTTAATGCTGCCCCTGCTGCTGCTGATACTCCTGCTGATATTTTTTTGAAAACGAATTTCTTAAGAACTGCTTTTTGTGTTGTTGTCCTTCCCCCACACCTCCGATTAGTACGGTTGGCTACGTATGGTGCGAAAGAGGTTCAAGATACATACATCACTGCTGCTGCTCCTACTACTGCTGTTGTTAGTGCTACTGCCACCCATACTGCTGCTAACTGCTACTCCTGCTGCTACTGCTGTCATAACTGTTGTTAATGCTGCTGCTACTATTGCTTCTGTTCCTGCTGCTTCAACTGCTGTTACTGCTTTTGACAATACTGCTACCGATATTGCTACAACTACTGTTGTTACTACTGCTGGTATTACTATTACGTTGGTGTTACTCCTGCTGTTGTTGTTGCTCCTGTTGCTGTTACTGCTGCTGTTATTAATACTACTAAGGCTGCTAACTATTGTTGTTGTAGTTGTTACTGCTGCGGGTATGACTGTGGCTGCCGTGTTGGCGCACCGTGGCCCAGCTCTCTCCGGTTCAGTCCGCTCACTCGGCCGATCTCGTTGGTGGCGTATGGAGGGAACTGCCGGGAGAGACACGGTTAAGCGTAAACAAATGCCACGTAGCTCTCTCCAGAAGGTGGCGATCGTTGCCAACCGTTTAAAGCGAGCTACTTAATGTTTGTATTGATATCAGCAGGGCTTAATATCCCACTGACAATTATCCGGCTGGCTGGTAGACCGAATAAGCACACACGTCTACCAGCCGTAGCCATAGCGAGAGGCACACTGGATGCGGTGTGCCGAGTGCAGAAAAATGTTCCCAGTGATTGACGCGGACAGACTGAGGTCATGTTAAACTAAACTAAACAATTTTTTATTCTACCACGTAAGGCCCACTGAGCAATATCGCTATTTTTTTGAAGTGACCTGGCCACAAATGATAGCTCAACGAAGTGGCTTATAATGTGGAAATTTATAGCAGCCAAATAATCTTAAACGCATGTTTCTAAATGTGGAGGCAAAGACTGAAGGACCCGGAGAAAAATCCACGCGATCATGGGGAAAACACGCAAACTCCAAATATACAGCAGTCGTCAGGGTCGGGATTGACCCGCGACTTCCTGGATACCAGGTGAGGTAGTTAATATCTCAGCACTGTGGCAGGGCTGCATACCACCAGGTTTATGATGGCAGATGTATTGACCATTAGTTTAAAGTTGACTATTTCTTAGTGATCCGTGCCTCCAGAGGAGACCAGACGATTTGTTCTCAATCTGCTTTGACCCCATTGACAAATGGGATGGATCTGCATGTCTTGAGATGCAGTCGCATTTAGATGCCACAGGATTTGTTGTTGTGTAGGGTTAGTTGTACGAACATGCGTCAGATAAGTGTCTGATCAACTGTACAAGTTAAATGATTGCAGTCAGTTTAGTATAAATTAAATGAATACGCACCTCGTAATGAAGCATGAAGTTTCTATCCTTCACCCCGCTGGAACACAAAAGACAAATCGACATCTTAATTGAACGATGATAATAAGAATAAAAACAATAATGTACAGCTCTGTCAATCCACGGCCGGATGAAGACCTCCCCCACACTGTGTCCGCCATGGGGTTTTTTCTACTATACTTCACCATCTCTGGTCAGTGCGGGTTAGCGTAACAGGGACCAGGACGGGTTCAGATTGCTTGCCACCGATGTTAGCCGTGGCCAGGAATTGAACTCCGAGTGACAGGTCCACTCAGCCTCAAATGATTAGCTGGTGCAGTGTTTAAACATCACCACTAGGGAGATAAAGGTGGCCAGGTGTGGTGCTGGACACCCACCCCCTCGTGTGCCGTTCCGGCCTTCATAGGTGCTACTCGCTAACAGCACTTGCCAGCAGTTTATTAAGGCTATTACGGGGGATCTTTGTTTTTATCTCGAATGAAACCTCGCGGCGATATCTCCCACCTGCCGAGCGCAGCGATGCGGTCGGTTTTGAGCGCCGACTCCATGGAGTCGAATGTCACCGAGCACAGGACCTGCGCGCGGTCGGCACGACGACACACGGAAGGGTGAGAGGTGGACCGGGCGGCTCCGCGGAGAGAACATCGAGCTGGCAACACCGACAGTCTGGGTTCAGCATCCTGGCTTCTGCCACCCGTGATTAAACCGTATTGTCAAAAGTAGTGAGTTCGTGGTCTCAGCTCAGTCACACATTACTGCGTAAAAAAAAACACACATGAAAATAACTTTTTCACAATTTTTTTGGCTAAATTCCAGATGTCAGATTATTTTTAAGTGTCCGTTTGACTGTCGTGCGATGCACATTTATCCGTAGCGGGGCTTGCGGATAATCGCAGCGACCCCTCAGTGTTGTGGGTAACAAAGAGTCACTTGAAGGGGCCTCCCAGAAGTTACTCTGTGATATTTCCTTCCGCGGGCCAATTCACGAGGTGACACGCCACTCGGCAACACTTCTGAATGGACGCTTTCTCGTCTCCGTGACAGAATGGCGGACAGCACAATTGCAATAAAAGACGTTTAAGAAGACAAAAAAAATACACACAAGTTCAACAAGACAATAATGATATTTGTTTAAAACCCCCTTCTCTGGTAATCAGATTCATGTCTTCACACAACGACCGAAACGCCTCCCCCACCACCACCCCCCCTTCACCAGGCCCGATTCACACACTGGCCAATGCATCGACGTTAACCACCAGCAATGACGTGGATTGCCAGCAGAGAAACGTTTCAGCCGATATAACAAAATTACCCTCGGCAATTTGCTGCACAAAAGTTAATAGCCCATTAGACGTGGGAATTCTACTCCAAATGCGTCCATACCACCCTCCTCTGGCCCTAACGAACATTTGGGCCGTGCTCGCCTCCACGGAGGGGGGGGGGGGGGGGGGAGGCGGTGGCGGCGGCCCTGAACTGGTGGCAAAAAATCATAGCCACTCAACAAAGGGATTGGGCCCCCAAAAGGAGTGATGGGGCCCCAAGCCAATAACCACCATTCCAGAATTTTAACTCATGACCTTTAAAAATGTGCGGGACTATTATGTAACCTGCCACTGCCAGGTTACATAATAAAAAAAACAGAATAATTTAACTAGACTGAACAAAGAAAACATTATGGGCTGGAGAGGATATCAAGTGTATCTTTGCACACACAGGCATATGTGCACGTTTGTGTGTGTGTGCGTACATACACGTGAGTCCCAATGTGTGCACGTGTGCTTGTGTACGTACGTCTGCATCGTGTGGGGATATCTGCGTGTGTGTGTTCATGTGCACGCGTGGCCGCATTATGTGCGAGTGTGCATGTGTGTGCGGGAGTCTGCATTGTGCCAGTGTGTGAGTGCATGTGCACAAGTGCATATGCTTGTCTGCAAGAGTGCGCCCCTGTATGTGTGTCCCATGTGGGGAGCAAGTGCAGTGGTTAGAGCACCAAGCTACGAACACGGCGGCCCGAGTTCGATTCCCTCTCAAGGCCAACATCAGTGACGAATATCTGAACCAGTCCTGGAGCCTCAACTAGGTTGACTCAGCCTTAAATGAGGACCTGGTGCTGTGCGTAAACAGCACCACTGGGGAGATGATGGTGGCTGGGCATAGTGTTACCCACACCACCCCCTCGTGCGCCGTGCCCTTTTCTACGAGCTTGCTAACAGTACTTTCCGCAGCAGTCTGTTGACGTTATGGGGGGGAACTTTATATTTGTTTGAGTCTGTATGTGGAACAGACACGCGAGTGTTTAGATTATTTGGCTACTATTCATTTTCACGCAATAATCCATTTAGTTAGGCTAGCATTTGTGGCCAGGTCGCTTCTGAAAAAAAAGTAAACAGCTCAGCGAGCCTAACCTGGTAAAATGAAAGTTTTTTTTGTTTGTGTGATTTGCCTACGTTTCCTATACTTTGCACGCCTATCGTGTGTTCGTACTGTTTGTTCTTGTAACTTTCTGACTCGCCCCCTACTGGACATCCGTAAACACAGAGCTTTACAGCTCATCGGATTCTTCCAGTACAAATAAAGATTCTGATTCTGATCTGATTCCGAGTGTGCGTGGGCGCGCGCATGAGTGCGTGCGCGCACCTGCGTCTGGCCACGCTGGAACAGCGCCGAGCCGTGCAGGGGCCGGTAGAGGTCGACCTCGCACGCGATGTCGCGCAGGGCCGACAGCTCGCGGCCGTCGCACCTGCGCCGCCCGGGAAACCCGTCGTCAGTCAGGGCCCCCGCACTGGCCACAAAAAACATTCCGAACGCAACGCAGTCGGGCCCGTTGTGCACCCTTACTCCACCGCTCTCAATGATAGTTATTAGGATTGGGAGAGGCCTTCTCTCCAGCAGTGGGCTGACCGAGGTTGATGATAATGATGATTTCTGCACGGTCGTGACCGAGTCTCAAGACTCAAAATGGAAAGCTACGCTTACTGCCGATTGTTTTGTTGGTATTGCAAACCTATACGTACGGCCCATTGTGTGAATCCACTGCTGGATGAAGGCGTCTCCACACCGTGAGGGTAACGGGGGTTTATTTGACCATACTTCACCACGCTGATTCGTGCGGGTTGATGAAGGCGAAGAGGAATAGATAACGGCAGTACAAAAAGTACAGTACAACCTTGTATGTAGCTGTATAGCCCTCTGTTGACCATACTTCCCCATGCTGGAAACGTATGGGTCAGGACCAGTTACAATATCACTCACCACTGACGACAGCGACGGTCTCAAATCAAACAAACCCTGGCTGCTGGGTTTGCAACTCGGTGCGCTAACTACTGCATCACCGCTCCCCCCCCTTAATCCCTTTGAAACTAAGCTGGAAACCAGTTTATTCGTGAAGGTTCAAGGCAAACTCCTGAGGAAATATCTATTGTCAGTTCCGTTATTTCATAGATATGGCTTTTCCCTATTTTACTTGAATACACATTGCATATGATAATACTCCGACTATTTTTTGCGTTAAACTAGTTTTACGGAATGTACTTTGAGTGGTTTATATTAAATGCGTGTTTCCGTCTCGCACGGCAAGTTTCTGTTGTTTAGTACACGTGCATCTGTAAAAGTGAAGGTGGCAGAGCAAGAGCGAACAGCGACGGTGACAATGACAACAATTACACGTGAGGATTGACGGAAAGAACGGACGAATGAGTGACGGTTCATGAATAGGTGTCAGAACGGACAGATGAATGAGATTTTTATGCAAAAACAAAACTCCGTAGTCCAGCAAGTCACCTCTTGTATTCGTTGAGAATAAGTCCTCGGAAAACCTCCTTGGTAATCACGTTGAAGGCCTCGATGATGTCATAATGCTCAGCATCCGTGAACGACGCTGTAAAAAAAAATAATGAAAACGCTTACGTAACACACGGGGAGGTGAAAGCCCCTTGGGCGAGCACGCATTTGTAGCTGGAATAATGCAAGTGACCGAGAAAAATGTAAACTTATTGCAACACCAATCGAGCAACTTTCCCGGCTCGGTCGATACTGTCTCTGTTTCTCAGTTAATTAATCAACATAACCCATCATGTGCCCGAGCCGGACTACACATGAACACATGAATACTTCCAGCGGCCCTAAGAAAGAAACGTGAGCACGGTAAAATTAGAAGCACGCATGGGGGACAGCTCGAAAATATTCCCACTTCTAGCACCCAATTAGTGACGCCTTAGATGCCTGCATTGTTCGATAATTATAATTATAAAAGTCGATAATTATCGACTCTGGGCCATATCGAAGCAGGTGTCCCACGGGCCGTATGAAACGAAGCTGTGGACTGCGTCAGGCTAGTGGGCCCGTGGGGATACCCCCACCGCCGCGTTAGCCGGCGTAACCATCGTCGTCGGCGCGGCGGCGTCACGGCGACCGTGACGTCGACTCCCGTCACTGTTTTCTCACCACGCAGCTGCTCCTCGGTCTCCAGGCGGAGTTTGTTGACGGCCTCGTCTCTCGAGATCTGAACAAACCCGGCACGCGCACACGTCACGACGTCAAACGGAGGTCAATTCCGGTCCAGCGGAGCGGATCCAGATGCAGGTTTTCCAGGCTGCCTGTGCCAGTTGTGGTTCTTGTTGAGCGTGGCTGATGATTTTACACTCAGCTTTAAGGGTTTTTGCAAATGTTTCCATATATAGGGTTAATAAATTTAATCAATCTAATGCATCTAACCCAGTAGTGATGTTCTAAATAATTTGGCATGATCTTTGCCCTTTTTAAAAAATGCCTTCACCGAAAGAACCAAAGAGTAATTCCTGCAGTCATAAAAGCTCCAAATCAAGTAAGCTCCAAATCAAGTATGGAACGTATGTTTAATGTTCATGCTTTGTTTACATAAAAAATAAATGCATTGTTATATTTAAATGTAATAACATGTCCATGCAAAGCCCTTTTGTCAATCCACTGCTGGTTAAGGGTCTGCCCACACCTTGGTAGTTATTTATCCTTAATTTAGCACACTCTTTAATGTCATAATCTTATAAAATAACAAATATTTAATGGTCACATAACTTTTTAGAATGATTGAACACAATATAATGAAGTATTTTTGTATTTTTTTTAATACTTAATACAAAAATCAATATCGTATTATCAATAACATGACAACGATAGCGCTCACCTTGTCGTGAGTGTAGTCTGTGAATATCGCGTAAACCTCCTTTGATGCCAACCTGCGATCCGGAAAAACCTAAATTAAACAACGCACTCAACACAGCCACGCTGGCACGAGCAATTATGAAGCGCCGGCAGCCAAACCGGCATGAGCGACTGCGATGCCAGTGAGCCGGATGGTGCCGGAGAGAAAGAGGCAGTGGTGGCAGCAGTGGCGACGATGGTGGCGTCACTCACTGCCTGGCCCTCTCCACCATGTCGGCGCGGGGCACCCACAGCTTCTGCGGCGTGCGCTTGGCGCGCCCGTGCTGTCGTGCCAGTTGCTGGATGGCGAGCACCACCTGTGTGGTGTGCTTCACGCCGACCTTGATGGCGTGGCACAGGTCTTGCTGCAGGACGTCCTCGGCCGCGGCCTCCAGCATCACTGCACCGAGAAACGCGCAGTCACCCCCGAGGTTGCCGAGAGTTGAGCCGAGCCACGGGAAGCCACGCTAAGCCACAGCCAATCAGGGTGATCCAAATGTGCTCTTCGCCAATGCCCCACAACGGGCAACTTCGGGAGTTGAAGGTGCCCAGCTGTGGCGCCTGGCAAAATCTTGCGAGAATAAATGCTCAACTCGTGGACTAGCACGAAGACCGCAGTTGTGGTGGCCATGAAAACCTACGTGCTCAATAAACTAAAACTAAACGATGTTTTTTTCAGCAGGTAAGGCCCACTGAGCTATGTAGCTCTTTTTCAGAAGCGACCTGGCCACAAATGACAGCTCAACAAAGTGTCTTATCTTGTGGAAATGTATGGCAGCAGCCAAATACTCCAATCCCACTGAGTCACATAGTGTTAAGCAGAGTCAGAGGGAGCCACGCTGAGCTGGTGTCTAACGCAACGAGCCGCACGGGACTCACCCACAGAGCTGCTGACCCCACCCGTGACGATCATGTTGAGCGAGCTCTGGGTCAGCTCACGCCGTGTTGGGTTGATGACCACGTCTCCGTTCACGATGCCCACGCGCACCGCACCTGGGGGGGGGGAGGGATGCAATGGGGGAGCACGTGTAGTGATGCCTCACTCTATACACGCGGTGCTCCGTTGTCAATCTACTGCTCGCTATGCTATGCCGATCATGGAGATTATTTGACCGCACTTCACCCACGCTGGTCAGGGCGAGTTGTAGGCGGGGAGCATAGATGCGGGGGCATAGAAGTAGAGTACAACAATTTATAATACTGCACTGCCCTCCGATGACCATAACTTAACCTCCCCAACGGCGATGTTCACGATGGTTTCCCATCAAAGCACTAGCCAAGTTAAAGCCACCTGGGCGTTTGAGATCTGATGGGATCGGGTGCATTCTGGGTAATTTGGTCAGAGGCCAAACATCTTACGGGAATACCGGAGTTGGCACGAGGTAGCAGCAGACAATGATGACTATTGTCCACATGGATTTCTGGCAAGGATTAAACTGGTATTCAAACACAGTTAAAACAATAATATTTTTAGCAGATAGACAGAACGCCACCACTCTACGCAAACGCTCTAAAATGTTGCCATAAGCCGCTCGCAGTAATTGTGCTGCTGGTAACGACTGCCATAACTTTACCCAAGCGACTCATTTACTCATTGCCTTTCACGAGAATCCCACTTCCCAGTGTTTGACGGATCTGAACCGATCCCAGTTTACTTACCCACGGGTCCATCCCACGGGATGTCAGAGAGTGCCAACGCTGCTGATGCTGCAAGACCAAGAGACAAAGGCTATTTTAAATAAGTTAAACGAGGAAGAAAAGTCATGCATATGCACACACACTTTAAAGCATGACAAATGCGTCTGTCCTTGGGAGTGTTTAATTAGCGTTAATAATGGTAGCGCTTGTGCCAGGCGTGCAGAAAAAAGGACGTTCGTAGGCTGCATAAAGTCGACGGAGCTCGGATAACGCTTCAACTGGATCGTGGTTTTCTATAGGAGGAGTCTCTAATAGCGACACAAAACTCAATACACAAGTTTTGGTCACATTTGGATCATATTAACACCAGTTGTGGCCCCCCCCCCCCCCCCCCCCCATTACAGAGATGTTGACGAATGGACAGAGCTAATGCATTAACACTTTCAACAAAACTTGAAAGGAGTACAAATATATATTTTTTAAATCAACATTCACACAAATGAATAACAGGTGGCCATGGAATCACAGCAGAGCAATGGATTTAAGCTAGCTATGAACAGCTTTGAGTGACATCTCCTCTTATGCAGGATTATATTTTCTCCAGGTACTCCAGTTTCCTTTCACATGAAGCCAAACACTCACAAAATTAAATTGGCCTGATATGTCAACGCGGAATCCACTTGCAAGAGTATTGGCACTCGACGAGTTTTTTTTCTGGGTAAAATGTAGCATTGTTTACTCTCCAGTTAGGGGACTGGCCAGCGTTGAAGAGTAGGCCAAGATACATTCTAAAGAGGCTATCTAGGGCTGCCTCTCATAAAGGCCCTTCCGCCACAAGCACCTTGACCCCTTCTCGTCTCGTAAAAATGATAGTCTTTGTAGAAAAATTAAGGGATGGCTGGAGCGTAAATCTGAAGAGGATGGATTTACCTCCATTGATGGCGAGAACTTCGGGGTCATTAACCCCGTCCACCGACAGGAGGTTGCAAATAACCTGAAGTGAAAGAAACAAAGACGCACGATGCAAGAACAGTTCCCAAAAATATACTATCTTAAATTTTTCCCAATTATATTCAAATCATGCTGTCGGTGTCATGTTGTGAGAGGAATACATATTGTATGGGTCTTTCGGTAAAGCCATGTAGATAGAAAAATAATTTTTACAAATACAGCTGTATTTTTTCAAATGAAGATGATTGTTTGTGTTGCAATCGAAACGTCGTGATATTTTTTTTATTTTTCTATCTATGTCGCTTTACCGAAAGACCCATAGAATATGTATTCCTGCAGTCATGAAAGCTTTAAGTCAAGAGGAATACATGTCCACTTGGAACCCTTGCAGCGAGAAGTGCATCACCCTATGTCAAAGAACAGCCCCTGAAGATGATGTCACAGAATTACAACTGAAGTCACACCTATGAATGCACACAAGGTGCACATGTGACAGATTTTCTGCCACGATTCCGCACACACACCTGCGTGTCGTAAAAATATCCAGCCGGGAAGAGAGGCCTGATGGACCGATCTGTAACAAAGCGATAACAAACACACAATTAGGAATAAAAACAGTAACAAACTGGTCATGCTTATAACGTTCCAGTTTGATTTGTTTATTTTAGGGGAGGCCTTCATCCAGCAGTTGATTGACAAAGGCCCGTAAAGTATCCAAACTATATGCCCGGGGGAAAAAAAATAACAACACTGTGGGTCCGCCCCCCACCCCCCCGACGCCTTCAAAATAAACCGCAAGTATTACATCGGACACCCCCCACCCCCCGCGGCAGTCACCCCGATTCGCCTCAGTTATGGGAAGGTGTAGACGTGAGCACTCACGCTACCGCTCTTAAAAGCACGGATAATAGAATGACGTTCCACTAAGACTTGTGGGAAAAGTCGAAGAAAGGATAAGGGCCCGCAGATAATAGGTGTTTTCACGAACCCGACAGCTGTCACGAATAACAGGAATCACCGATAGTTTAGCCACAGATAAAAGGGTTTCTGTATATACAACATGACTTGTCGCCACTGTCAGTGGTCACCGAGGACTGGCACAGCAAGGTGCTGGGCCTGGCTGTCATACCGATGACTCGGCTCGTCAGGATCTCCAAGTCGGTGGTCCCGAGCTCTCGCCGGAGGTGGTTTGTGGGTATTCTCCCAGCAGCCGCGGCCTTCTGCTTGTAGTCGACCTGCACCACAGGAGAACAGATTCATGTTCATGAAATCAGATTATACATTGGTAAGGGAATGTAAATCAATGATTCTACGCATGTGTCACAAGCATAAGGATCGATTTTAATAATTGAAGCAATGCACTGTTACACTAATACCTATCTCCACAATGTGGAAAAATGTATCATCAATCAAGAACCTTCCGAAATGGAGTCTTGAAAGCCAAGCGATGCTTCGGCTTGTAAAATGAATTCAACTGGAATTACTAAAAGCAATAGCTGTGTCAAGAGTTTTAAACAAGTCCATAATGAACAAATAATGAAGAGGCGTGCCTATGACCTAACCATCTACAATGTGCTCGATTTTGTCAGATCTTAGAAGCTAATGAGTTGAACATGAATCGTGATAGGATAGGTGACCACTACAGTATATGCAAACAGATTATCAATCGAGTTACTACATTGTAAGCAGCAGAAGGCACTGCAAATATATATTTTTCATACGTCTCCGCTTCCAATACCTACGCTATGCGCCTGACCAACATTGTGAAGTATGGTCAAATAATCCCCATGAACCGCATGACAATCCAGTAGTGGATTGTCATATTTGCCTATATACAAGTATGTACATTTATTCGAATACTGTACGACACTCACCACCAGCGGCATGAACTGCACTGTGGCCGCCTTGGCCTTGCTGACAGCCGTCACCATCACCGCCGTTTCCCCGAGCTACACGCAAGAGGGAACACAGAAACGCAACGTTCAACACGCGGAGAACAACAGAAGAACAGAGTCACTTTACTGGGCACGCAGTTCATTCCGTGCCATTTTCTTGTGCGCGCCCGGTTCTTCGTGGCGTCAGAGGCGACATTGAGATTTTACCTGAACGATAGCGCATCCATCTGCGAACCTCGCCAACTTCCCCGTAGAGATCTTAAGCTTCCTGTGACCAGAAATGACACACAAAATCGCTGATATAGGACTGAATTAAAAACACAAAAGGCACGACTGCCGATCACAAACAGAAGCTTGCTGGTCAGCAACAGAAAGGTCTCCATCTGAGACATCACATTTTCGACTGCCGCGGTGCAGTGAGGATGGTAGGACAGGGAAGGATAATGAGAAGTGAGGATAATGAGAAGTGGGGACGACAACACCAACAGAAGCAGCAACAGAAAAGCAGTATCAATAGTAGAAGCAGCGGTCGCTTTGACAGGGATGTCTACAGCAATAGCAGTACAACGAGATATACAAAAACAGGACCATCAAGGAGCAGCAAGAATAGCAGGAACCACTGCACAAGCGGCGAGAGTAGAAGCAGTACAAGAAAGCCACGCAGCAGCATATACAGGTAACAGCAGATAGCAGCAACAGAAGCATCAACAGAGCAAGAGATGCGAAAACAGCGGTAGGCAGAAGCAGTAGTAGCAGCAGCAGAAGTGACAGCAGCACAAGTAACAACAAAAACAGCGACAGCACCAGTGGGTAGCAGCAACATCAACACGAGCAGCATCAGCAGCAGGCATGACAGCAGCCGTGACAGCAGCCGGTGACAGCAGCCGGTGACCACAGCAGCAGCAGCAGTACGAACCGAGTTCCAAGCGCCACCTCGGCCTGGCCCCTGACGCCGCTCGCACTCCACGCGCTGTTGTGCGCCCAGCGTCGCCGGCTGCTCGCGGGAGCCGAGCTGAGGCCTACGCCGAGGCCTGCGCCGAGGCCCATGCCGCCCCGCACGCCGCCCCAGCCGAGACGGGGCCCGCGGGGGTAGCGGCGAGCGCAGAGAAGCAGCGACCTGAGGCCCAACGCGAGAGCGGCGGCATGGCGGGTACAGGGCGCGGCCATTGCTGGTTGGCAAGGGGGGACCGGCGGGGCCACGTGGGACTTGGCTTTTATTCACGCGCACACCTGATTCGTAGTCTTAATACGTTTTTTTTAATTTCTAACAGCATGCTTAAATATTTTTTGGGGGCAACTAACGCGTTATTGATCGATTTTGTAATTATGTATTATTGTTGGTGTTGTTATCGATTGATGCTTTCATTTTCAGAAGTCATGGGTAGTATTTTAGTTGGTGGTGTTTCGAATCAGCGGGCAGCAAAGTAAATCGGTTTGCCTATTGACTCATTGAGAGGCAGCGCATGGCTTTACCAAGGCGTGGGGTGAAACTCCACACTCTTCAATATCGTCAATAGCGCCGCTCGAAATGTGTTTATACTTGGATTTATTTTAGCCCGTCAGTTAATTTATTGACTTTCCAGACCAATATCGCCAAACAGAATTCGTTTGAGCGAGCTCGACACGGATTTAGATCTTCTGGGTCTCATCAGCAGTGTCAGGATTGTTGAACAAATACTTTTTGAATTTTGATGTAAAGCATTCGTGACTGCAGGGATTCATATTCTTGGTTCTTTCGGTAAAGTCACGTAGAAGGGAAATCCACAGAAAGAAAATTTGTTAACTTTCCTGGCAATGGCTTTTTATAGGAAACTAGCTTGTGTGCCCGTCTAAGGACGGGTGAATATTGCAGTAAATCTTAAATATTAAATAGAAAAATTGTTCAGCTCGTGATTATTAATGAGGGGGCGGGGTTGCCCCATGTGGAGTGACGTCACCCGCTAATGGTTATTGGGGAGGGGTGCGGCATGTGGAGTGACGTCACCCACTAATGGTTATTGGGATGGGGTGCGGCATGGGGAGTGACGTCACCCGCTAATGGTTATTGGGGAGGGGTGGGGCATGTGGAGTGACGTCACCCGCTAATGGTTATTGGGGAGGGGTGCGGCATGTGGAGTGACGTCACCCACTAATGGTTATTGGGGAGGAGTGCGGCATGGGGAGTGACGTCACCCGCTAATGGTTATTGGGGAGGGGTGGGGCATGTGGAGTGACGTCACCCCCTCATGTTTATTGGGGAGGGATGCGGCATGTGGAGTGACGTCATGCGCTCATGATTATTAATGAGAGGGGGGGCTCATGTGGAGTGACGTCACGCGCGGGACACACATTATTGGCTCATTCGATTAGCAATGCATTGAGGCCAGAGAGAGATACAGTTCATAGGCGTTGGAGAAGACACGTGGGCCCCCCACCCATTCCCCCCCACCCATTCCCCCCACCCATTCCCCCCCACCCATTCCCCCCCACCCATTCCCCCCACTCATTCCCCCCACCCATTCCCTCCCACCCATTCCCCCCACCCATTCCCCCCCACCCATTCCCCCCCACCCATTCCCCCCACTCATTCCTCCCACCCATTCCCTCCCACCCATTCCCCCCACCCATTCCCCCCCACCCATTCCCCCCCACCCATTCCCCCCCACCCATTCCCCCCACTCATTCCACCCCACCCATTCCCCCCACCCATTCCCCCCCACCCATTCCCCCCACTCATTCCCCCCCACCCATTCCCCCCCACCCATTCCCCCCACCCATTCCCCCCACTCATTCCCCCCCACCCATTCCCTCCCACCCATTCCACTCATCCCCCCCCACCCATTCCCCCCCACCCATTCCCCCCACCCATTCCCCCCCACCCATTCCCCACCCCCCATGGTGGTTACATTCGAGGCGCACGATTGGTGGCTTCGGCCGTCTCCCTCTATCGGCACCAATCGCGCGCGCGCGCGCGCCTCGCCGTCAACCAATCAGGGAGCAACGGGGTGGGCGAATGGCGCCGGGCGCGCCTATCCGCGTTGGGGAATCTGGAACCTGTGGGTAGAGGGGGAGGGGCTTCCTCCTCCCCCGCTTCCTCTTCCGGCCCCCGCCCCCTCTTGGGGGGGCGGGGGCCGGAAGAGGAAGCGGGGGAATAAGGCGGAGGGGGGCAATCATGGCGGCGGCCTTCGAGCAGATGCGTGCCAACGTGACGGTGCTGCTGAGGGGCATCGACCGGTCCGTAAGCCGTCCCCGCCGTGGGGACACGCGCACGGGGAGAGCCGGGCCTAGTCGCTGGGGCTGTGGAGAGACCGGCGGCGCCGTAGGGTTGCGAGTAAAGTGGGAGCCCCGAGGTTTTGATTCGGCCTTCTTCTGGTGGCCTTATCATGGCGGCAGCGTGGTTTCAGGCGAGCCATACCTCTTGCGGCGCTCGCCGCGACGAGAGGGCACCAGGAGCGCGTTCGTGTGGGGTTGGTGTTTGCTATTCCGACTCCGTTAAAGGAGCGCGGGCTTCTTGTGCGTGGTGTTCTGCACGTTTGGCAGCGACACGTGTGGGGTGTTCGCGTTGTGTGGCTGTGAGGCCTTCGCCGCCAGTGGGTCAATGAAGATCGTGAACTGGTGCATCTTTGTTTCCATTATCACGCCACCGCCTGCACAACCACCGCCCGAACCAAATCTCTCCGCGATTTTGGCTTTCGTGTCGCGGGCATGACGCGCCCGGCGTTTTCTCGTCACGTGCTTGGCTGCGAGCTTCTCCACAGAGCGATTGAATCTCTTTAAATGTTGCGTCGCAGTTATATGGCTGCTTTGGGAAGGCCTTCATCCAGCGGTGGATTGATAACGGCCGATGGTGATTGCTGTGATCATCAGAGTGTAGGTGAAATTGGCGCCGTCCGAAGAGGTTGCACCACTTTTCGTGTTGGGAAATCGGCGGTGGTACTGTAATTATGTAGGGAATGGTACCCGCCATAGTTATATGGAATATCCACACGTCACCGCACCACGTACACCGAGCGTTGGGTTGGATACCATCACAAGCGCACACGTGATTATGCGCATAAAGCTACATTGTGTACACGTATTCATTACTTAAATTAACACCTGTTATGTTCCACTTAGACACAAGGGGGCACTCGTTTAAATTTTACAGCCCTGATCCGGCGTTGGAAATTCCACGTGTTGTACAGTACCGCATTCCAACGGCTGTGCTCCCCGCCTAAACCAACCCGCAATGACCTGCGTGATGACGTTTGGTCAATTACTCAACCACAACGACGGTGTTGAGGCTCTCAACCCGCAGTGGATTGATAAAAATTCCTTGCATGTTCGTGTGCATGACGTTGGTTGGTGTGCCTGTGCATGCCGTGTTCTCTTAATAGGTGCCCGCTGATAACACTTGCCCCAACACTCCACAAAAAAAACATCACGGTGAATCTTTGTGTGTGTGTGTGGTGTCTCCTGGGGCAGGTACAACCCAGAGAACCTGGGAACGCTGGAGCGCTACGTGGAGACACAGGCGCAGGAGAACGCCTACGACCTGGAGGCTAACTTGGCGGTTCTGAAACTGTGAGTAGCTCCTCGCACTGCACTATGAACAGACGTGTGATATATGTAACCCAGGGTTTGGGTTAGTGTCAGGACTAGGAGGAGAGCTGTTAGGAGTTAGTTAATTTGGTTTTGTGGCCGGGCTAGGGACAGGTTGCAGTTTGGGTTCGAAGCCTGTTTGTATTGTTTAAAATGTATATTTTGTTTGAATACATGAGAACTCCAAGTTTGCTTAAATGTAATGGAATATAATAACATGCATACTTTATAAATAATTGATTCCCTTGCATAATGCCATGCATCAGTGAGCATAATCAATCTAACTTACATCTGTTCATCACTTGATTCCTGAAATAAACACTCATTCTATGCTGTGCCAAATGTTAATTAACAAGTTTCTCACCCCTGTGAAATGGATCACTGTAACTGGACTTGCGAAGAGAGGGCAGCCTCCGTTTTGGCTCCGCCAATTTACCGTGCGTACGGTTAACGTGACAACGCCACGCGTGCCCGCTTGCGCTACAGGTACCAGTTCAACCCGGCCTACTTCCAGACGTCCGTGACAGCACAGATCCTGCTGAAGGCACTCACCAACCTCCCGCACACCGACTTTACGCTCTGCAAGTGCCTCATCGACCAGGTCCATGTATCCTTGTCGAGGTGGATGTGTCGGGTGGATTGACGTCACGGGAGAGCAGTGCTCGCGTTTGAGATGGAAGCGGCAGAGACGCACGTCACATTGGGTGACCGGGCTAAGACCATTGACTCGCTTCAAGTGAGAATACATTTTTATCACTGGCAGCTGAAAAATACTGGGTATCATAGTAATTGTACTAACAGTGAGGGCCAGGTGGCTGGGGGTACTAATACCTTGTTAGGAACTCTGAGCCAACACCGCTGAGGTTCTGTGTTTGAATCCTAGTTTCAGCCTCCTGTGAATAAAGTAGATTCTCAGGGATAGTTAGGTTGAAGGTCTCAACCCGGTTAATAATAACCACAAAAAACATTTTAACTTAATTTGACAAAATTCCATTTCTAAGAATTAAAAATATCTGTTTTACTGTCATGCGACGAACATCGATGGTGGCGTGTCAAAGTCCTGCCTCTTACTTTGTGGAACAGAGGTCACCTTGAAGGAATCTCTGAGGTAACCCAGGAATATCCGCTTCGGTGGTCAGTTCTATAACTCGAAGGGTGCAGCTCTCTGTGAAAGTTCGTCTCATAACATGACACTGTTAGGACAGTTGGGATAAAGCTGGGGACAACTTGAGAATGGAAACGTTGCTGCTACGATTGAGCCTTGACCGAGGTGAAGCAGTTGGAAGACAAGCAGCTGGGAAGGATCCTGCTTCTTGGAGAGCTCCTGGAGACCTGCCGCTTTCAGAACTTCTGGGTGAGTTGAGGTGGACCGCTCTCCAAGGGTGTGTCGCCCAGTGTGAGCAATGAAATCGGCTCACATGTAGGCGCTCGATCAGGGGTCGACAACCTGTCTTCAGAGGCCGCATGCGTCTCTTTATGGACGTTATTTGATAAGGAGCACCGTCTTGTGTTCACGTACATTGCGGCTCTTGAAATGTTGAGATTTTATACCGAATTCGAAAAAAAAATGTCTCGCTATTTTGGTTGCCGACCTCTGCGCGAGATGGATTGTTGCATCACAAGACTGAGAGGCGGTCACAGCCTTTATCCAGCAGAGCATAGATCATGGCTGATGATGAGAGTTGGAACAATTTACTGCCTATGTTTTGTTGTCATTCAGAATAATTAACATTGCATTGAATGTAGCAGCCATGTGAATACAGTGCAACAAAAACTTTTAAAAACGTGCATGATTCATGGCTCTTAAGTTTAATCGTCGATATTAATCGATACATCGGTACACCTGTAGTTACTTATCTCTCCAGCAATTGGATGCTATCGTATTCTCAGTCTCATTAATACTGCACGTTGCGTTTGTGTGTCATGATTTGTGCCGCAAATACCTTCCTACTTGTTCCCCCAAAGACGGAACTGGACGAAACACTGGTCGATGGAATCACCGGATTTGAAGACTCCATTAGAAAATGTGCGTATTAAAACACATTGACACACACCTGCTTTGTGTGATGACTTAAACAAGGCAGCTATTCAGGATGGTTTGTGATGTTTCTCCTGCAACTCTTAGGAACGTCGTTAAGTTGCTCCAGTTTGGCTCTCAGAGCCTTCCGCATAAACTGAAATGTGGTCTGGAGTGACTTGATGACACATTGTAAGCAACTTAGGGAAATATGTATTGTATAAATAACACCATTTGTTAATCTAAGCCTCGTTCAGTTTGAAGACTTTAAACAGGATCCTGCATTGAGATGTTCGGCCAATTCCTTTTGAAGGGCATGTTTGGTATGTGGGAGGAAATCAGAGTGTCCATTGAAGACTCACACAGGAACAATCAAGGTCCACACAGATGGGTAAAAAAAATCTGCTCACTGTAATGCCTTCTGGAAATGGCAAGGCCCAGTAGGGGTAGGGGTTTCATGATTATCTGCGTGATCCACCAACCCTTGCCTCCAAAGCGCTGGAACTTTGGTACGTATAGCCAGGATATGCTGGTGCATACCAGTGGCTGGTCCTTGTGAACTCTGTTGTCTCGCTGCGCGTGTCCTGCAGTCATCTGCCACGTGGTCGGGATCACGTACCAGCGCATCGGCAAGCGATTGCTCTCGGACATGCTCGGCGGACTCACAGGTACGGGGTTAGGTTTTCACGAGTTCTCCCTACTCAGACTCATTATTCACGTCGACCCAGGTGGTGAACCATATGGGCGGAGATTCTCTTTAATGTTTCATGACAGAAATTAACGCAGGGGTGGATGGAACCTATGGCACCATGGGCCGCATGCAGCTCGTGACTTTATTTCATACGGCCCGCGGCCACGTGAGGCTTGGCGCTTTAAAATGGCCGGCAAACGATATTCATTCCACTACTGCTACCGCGAGCATCTTAGCCTCGCTAATAGAGTGCTAGAGTACACCCACATCTGGGCGTGTCACACTTCACGTACTCGCCGACTGTCTCCGCCACCTCCTCCTCGCTCCACCACACGCGCACACGTACACTCGTGCACTCTGACACTCCCGCACAGACGGCCAACTCAATGTGTGGATGAGCAAGTATGGCTGGAACGAGGGAGAGCCAGGGACCATCTACATCGCGAACCAGGAGGAGACGGTGAAGCCCAAGAACATCGTGGAGAAGATCGACTTTGAGAGTGAGTTCATACAGCGATGTCTGAACGTCGGGAGCTGGAGCCACAGAAGAGTTTCTTGTTTGGCAGAGAAATCCGGCCAGCTGTTGACGCTAACATAATTGGAGGTGGCTTCTGGGGGCTTATACTCTGAAATATGCTGAGGCAGCACCGCTGAGGTCTCGAATTTAAATCAGGGGTTGAGTCGATGGTGATTAAACTGGGTTCCCAAGTGTCGTGTATTGATGGTCTCAGCAAGTCACCAATGACAGCACGATAAATGAACTCGCATTGTATTTGATTTTCACTCAATTTGGAATGGCTGACTAAAATAACTTTAAAATGAAAAGCGACATGCTCTTTGCAGGGCATATACAACGTTTACCTCGTGTAAATACGTATCATGGGGCGTCTTAAAAAGTAGTCCTGTGACTTCTTGCAGGACTGTTCTCTAAAGTTTATTATAAAAAAAATATGACATGCCGATAGCACAGCGAACATAAAATTGGAAGGGAAAAAAATATATACAGCACTAACATCTAATAATCATATCCACACAACTGGATCTAATCCCATTGGTTAAGCATAACTAGTTAAGACTTTTTACGTCTAAAGCTGCGGTGCAATGATTCCACTGCGTGCGCGTGTGTTTTTTATTTGTTTCAGGTGTTGCAAGCATCATGGCCTCGATAAAGTGAGACTCACCACATCTGCAGATGTAGACTCAAAGCCCAGTTCTGTGGAATTTAAGCATTCCGATAAAACAAAACATCACAACTGCTTTTCCAGCTTGTTAAATCTCGACATCTGAAACGTGGTTACCGTTCATCTATCCGATGGACCAACTTTGTGCTTGTTCAAATGGCTGTTGCTTGCGTGAATTAACGTTGTATGCAATTGCCGTTATTTATATAGATCGGAGGTCACAGATGATGTTGGAATTCAAGCGTAATCTCATCCCCATCGTCTCAAGAGTTCATTCTTAGCTCTACCAAAACACATCAGCAAGAACTTTGTACAAAACAATGCATTGTACACTCAGATGGCTAAAAGCTTCGTGTTCATTTCATACAAATAAACTTGACCGTCTTCTGCTGCTTTTTGAACATGTTTTTATTTTAGCTGCAATTACCGATAGATTTAGTGAAGGTTAATTATCCATGGGGTAGCTAGCAGTGGCTTAGTCGCGGGTTAGCGCACTGCGCTGTGAATTTGCCAAACTGGATTTGGATTTCTGGCTACAGCTGACCACCTTGGCAAAAGTATGCTCAAACAAACCCTGTGAAACAACATGTAGGAGGAGGCCTTCATCCAGCAGTAAATTGACAAAATAACTCGTTGTTCACGAATGCTGCATTCTGAAATGGAAAACTTTTATATAAATCAACAATCCTGAAACCTGACACGGTTGTGTAAGCCACTTTTATTAACAAGCAAGCTTGGCATCGTTTCTGTCGCAAAGAGATAAATAATTAAGCATCTCAGCTGCCTGCATCGAATGCAGTTGCACTTAATAATTATCATTCACTCGAACCATTTAACCAGGCGAGAGCCCTTTTGAGACGACGCTGTCTCTTTATTATACAAGGTAGACCTGGGGTTAAAATTGGAATTCGATCTCTTCACATTTGTTTTTACCAAACGTAAGCATGCATACACTTCCATCACATGGGCAATGCCGTTTTTAAATTGAGACTGAAAGAAAGCAAAACCATTTGCTATTCTGCCGCACATCCAACCGTTGCATAGGGGGACGCACCGCGCATACCCAACCGTGCTAATCGGAGGTGCGGTGGGAAGGACAAACGATACACAAGTTGAAAAGAAGTGTGTTTTCAATCTATGTTTTAAAGTGCATAGCTCCAGTGGCTTCCTAATATCAGAAGGAGTGCTCCAAACGGCTGCTTACGAAGGCAACCGCCTGGCTGGAGGACCACTGGTACATGGGCATTGTAGCACTACGACCCCTGTTGATGGATTGTAACACAACGTACGTAAGAGAGTGAGTGCGATGTCTTATTTCTACCGGGGACAATCTTAAAGACAATACCGCTGTGGTGGTAATGATTGGCACATTGAACTTGCAATCAAACGTTTGCCGTTCCACATCTTGACTGGACAGTTGAAACGGTGCAAGTTTTTAAATCCTCTCCATACCCCGCGTTCCTAATAATTTCGCTACTTGGGTGGCTGAACTGAATTTCCCGCGTGAGAATTTCGATAAGTCATTATTTTCCGCGAAAAATGTCTGCACCAACACCCCTGCGCACCTCGATTTAGTTTACACCACGTGTGGCCTTTCATGCCTTGCCGAACTGGCCATCTTTATGACCTCCAGCTTCCCCTTTGCAGACGTCTCTTCCATCGGCCTCGCCAAACGCCCCCCTCCTCGCTGGCTGACGTCTAGTAGCGCGTGGTGAAGGTCTTGAAGTCCTGCGCTGTGAGTTCCCTCTCGTTGCTGAAGTCGGCGCGCTTGATGTGACAGCTGGGGCTGCCCACGTTGCTGAGCCAGCGCTTCCTGCACAGACACATGTCACCGTTACGTTTTGTCGTTTTAAATCATTCGCAGTCTCGACGCAAATCCACGGTCATTGCTGATCGTGAGCGCAATTAAGACCATTCTTCACCACAACTGGGCAGTGCAGGTTTGTGAAGGCTTGGGAGCGTAGACGTGGGAACATAGAACTGCAGTACAATGGATTTTTTTCTGCACTGCCCTCTACTGACCACCACGTAGCACCAACACGATTATCGCGACAACATTACTGTAATCATAATCGCACCACGCTTTTAAATCTATATTTAAAACTACTTTTTGTGTTTAGAATGGCCTTCCCCGCACCTCCGATAAGCACGATGGGCCACATACGGCTGGGCCACCAAAAAACGAGTGTTTGCCCGAGGTGTCATTCACATATCGAGTAAACAGCAACCACCTCTCTCGCTGTGGTCGTGACTACTAAGCCCACGCCTCTCTCGCTCTCCTCCAGTACTCCCGAATAAATATTTTTTAAAAATATATAAATAAAAATAACACATAAAATAATTCTCACGACGTTTCGGCCACAACGCAAGGACGGCTGCTTGCGTTGTGGCCGAAACGTGAGAATTATTTTAATATGTTTTATTATTTTATTACTTACCTTCTACGTGACTTTACCGAAAGAACCAAGAAGATGAATCCCTGCAGTCACGAAAGCTTTAAATCGAAATATATTAATACTCGTCGACAAATTATTACCAGCAAACGGGCTGCAACCACTCGCGATGGGGTGGGGGCGGTGCGGTGCGAAACTCACATGGCCTGCAGCTTGTCGTCGGGGCCCTGCACCTGTCCCACCACGGTGCCGGCCGGGGTGTTCTTCACCCACCCCACCAGGCCAAGCTTCCTCGCCTGCTCCTCCGTGTACTGCGCGGGCACATCGGGATGGGGGTGGAGGTGTGCGGCGAAACACCGGCCACGTGGAGACGCGGAGACCACACGTGTTGTACAGACAAAGAACCCCCCTCCCGTATAGAGACTGTTGGGGCAAGTGCTGTGAGCGAGCATCTATGAAGGCCTGACCATGGTACGCAAAGGGGTGGGGTGGCCAGCACCACGCCCGGCCGCCTTTGTCTCCCTCGTGACGTTTACCCCTGGCAATGGAGGTCCCATGATGACGTTTACCCCATTACACCAAGGTACACATTTGAATGTTTAGCCTAGGGTGTGGCCCAGCGCCGGTTCAGATATTCGCCACCAGTGTTGGCCGTGAACAGGAATCGAGCTCGGGTCGCCGGGTTCGTAGCGCAGCGCTAACCGCCGCGCCACCGCTCCCCGTACCCCCGCACACGCGCGCGCGTGAGAGTGTAAGCGACAAGGCCGTAGCCATGGAGTCAACATTGGGGGGGACCAAATCTTCCAGGGTGCCTGGAGGTCCCAACCCAGAAAAATATCTAAATTTTAAAACTAATTTCCTGCCTAAAATATATTTTTAAAAAATTCACTAACACGTAGGATGGACATTTTATATATTTTTTTACAATAATGTCTAATAGTGTATTGTATTACATTGCTCTGTTTTTACTTTTTTACCATTTCTTCTTTCATTGTATGTAATGGCAGAGATTAGGAATTAATAAAGTGCAACCATAACCACAATCATATAAACAGAAATATATGCATTGATTTACATGAAGACAAGTCCAGATATTGTGGCCAAGGTTTAGAAAATTTTTGTTTTTATTTACATAGCATGGCAATTTTTTTATAGCAATATATTGGGGGGAGGACATTTGAGCATATTATAATTACGGTAAGAGATGAACACCCAACTCACCGATCTGAAGCACACGCCTGTCGGGGAAGACAAAGACACAATGACGTCAGCAAGCACCCATCGACGCACGCGGCGGAAGTTCAATCCGCATCTTCGCTGAGGTTAAGCTACGATTGCGCGACAGCATCATCGGTGATTCTTATATAAGGGGCCGTCCATAAATGACGTCACGCACCTATTGGGGGGGGGGAGTCAGACATTTGTGACGATGTGTGACGAGTGGGGGGGGGGGGTGAGAAATGTGACGTCACATCAAAATGCGCAACTTTAAATAAGTATGGACAACACGTTCTACTTAATTAAATATACTTCATAATAAATGTTTTCTCCTACAACATCAGAGTGCAGCGCCACATTAAATACGCACTACAATGACAATAGTTTAAAGCGATTTGAAGCATGTTTTTGGGGGGGGGGCAGAGCTTTGTGACGTCATATTTGAGGGGGGGTTTGACATTTTGTGACGCCGTGTGACGAGGGGGGAGGGTGTCAAAAATCGTCCAAAATCGCGTGACGTCATTTATGGACGGCCCCTAATCACAGTGCGAGTCTAATGTCGCACCTTTGATTCGCGCCGTTGGCTACGTACGGTGCGAAAGAAGTCACAAGATACAAAACTACCACCGGTGCACTGCGCCAGGCTGATGCGGGGGGAGGGGCAGGCTACGTGGTGGGAATCAGAAAAATCCATTGTTGTATCGTACTTTCTGTGCTACCACCTACAGTATATTATTGCTTCCCGCCCTTTACCAAACCCGCACTGACCAGCGCGGTGAAGTATGGTCAAATACCACCCCCCCTCTCCCCCACAACCCATATGGCGTGGGTAGGCCCTCATCCAGCGGTGCAATCGCCTTTCTTCGGATAATGGTTATTTGTAATATGCCATTAAGAAGGACCATTGCCCAAAACGTCGCTTACGGTGTATATATGTTTTCCCGTTTAAGGCCACAGTATTATTGCGTTAATTGTTGCCTGCGCATCACTTGCCAACACAGCAGCAGCAGCAGCATCACCACATCATTCGCTTACACCGCGTGTCACTTCCTCCATATCCAGAGGTGGACATTCCACGTTCGTATGGACGCCCTGCACGAGATGCCTACTCGCTTGGACAGATCTGGACCAACAGCACCACCGCCACTGGCCCGTCTATAAATACAAAACCCCGCGGCTAAGGGCCATGGCAGGTCCAACCAACCCGAAATAGCTCGACTCCCCCACCACCACCACCCCGACTACTCCCCCTCTTCCCTTGTTCACGAGCACCCAGACGTGGGTCACCATGCAGACGGTGGGGGTGGTGGTGGTGGTGGTGGCCCCTCGTTTTGAGTGAGTTTTTCTCCGGATAATCGCGTGTCCCTCCGGCACGAAATATGAAAACAATTTCTCACATTAACGTCATGCTAATCTCTCACATTAACATCATGCTAATCTCTCACATTAACACCATGCTAATCTCTCCCATTAACATAGCCACTTCCGTGCCCTCTAATCTCTTACATTAACATCATGCTAATCTCTCACATTAACATAGCCACTTCCGTGCCCTCTAATTTCTCACATTAACATCATGCTAATCTCTCACATTAACATAGCCACTTCCATGCCCTCTAATTTCTCACATTAACATCATGCTAATCTCTCACATTAACATAGCCACTTCCGTGCCCTCTAATCTCTCACATTAACATCATGCTAATCTCTCACATGAACATAGCCACTTCCGTGCTCTCTAATTTCTCACATTAACGCCATGCTAATCTCTCACATTAGCATAGCCACTTCCGTGCCCTCTAATCTCTCACATTAACGCCATGCTAATCTCTCACATTAACATAGCCACTTCCGTGCCCTCTAATCTCTTACATTAACATCATGCTAATCTCTCACATTAACATAGCCACTTCCGTGCCCTCTAATTTCTCACATTAACATCATGCTAATCTCTCACATTAACATAGCCACTTCCGTGCCCTCTAATTTCTCACATTAACATCATGCTAATCTCTCACATTAACATAGCCACTTCCGTGCCCTCTAATCTCTCACATTAACATCATGCTAATCTCTCACATGAACATAGCCACTTCCGTGCCCTCTAATTTCTCACATTAACGCCATGCTAATTTCTCACATTAACATAGCCACTTCCGTGCCCTCTAATTTCTCACATTAACATCATGCTAATCTCTCACATTAACATAGCCACTTCCGTGCCCTCTAATTTCTCACATTAACATCATGATAATCTCTCACATTAACATAGCCACTTCCGTGCCCTCTAATTTCTCACATTAACATCATGATAATCTCTCACATTAACATAGCCACTTCCGTGCCCTCTAATCTCTCACATTAACATCATGCTAATCTCTCACATTAACATAGCCACTTCCGTGCCCTCTAATCTCTCACATTAACATCATGCTAATCTCTCACATTAACATAGCCACTTCCGTGCCCTCTAATTTCTCACATTAACGCCATGCTAATCTCTCACATGAACATAGCCACTTCCGTGCCCTCTAATTTCTCACATTAACGCCATGCTAATCTCTCAAATTAACATAGCCACTTCCGTGCTCTCGTCGAGGAGGCCGCTTTCCTATCTTACATGCTAATTTCTCACATTAACATCACCAGCCCCGGCCACTTCTTTATGACCCTTGAGCTGCACCCATTTCAAACCTTTTAAAACAGTCTGCCTCAGCAGCAGGCCATGCTTTCCCACCTGATGACGGACGCTTGTGTTGCGCCCGAAACGTCGTGATTTATTTTATTTTATACCTACGCGACTTTACCGAAAGAACCAAAGAGTATGAGAACAAAAATATGGGTTTTAATTTTGTAAAATAATTATGTTGGCCTTGCGGAGCTCGATGACGAAGGAGACACCGTGAAGCTTTCCCGAACGATTGAAGGTGCGATGTTGGTAACGATGACAACGCTGTGGATGATGCCGATCATTCTGCTGCTGTTGTTGTTGTTGATGATGATGATTCATACTGTAATGATGAATAACCCAGGAAGGCTTCACCCGAGTCTCAAGATACGTTGTCAAGAGGGTCGTGCCACATTGGGATGTTTGGACAATTGATCTTCATTTCGAGTGTTTTGGCTTCGTGTGAGCGAAAACCAGAGGACTTTCATGGGATAATTCCACAATGCACACGACGGCTTGACATTCAAAGCTCCGCACATATGTATTTAAATACATTGCCTTGGTTCCATCCTTTGAGGACACCTACCAGCCTAAAGCTTACCACAGCAACTATTCCCATGCACTCCCCCATCCCAGTACTGCATTAACCAGGTTCAAATCCAGCTTAGCCTCCGAGATCTGACGAGAGCTAATCAGGGTCTAGCATGGCTAAACATGCGTGCTTTAAATTTCGATTTAAAGCTTTCGTGACTGCAGGGATTCATCTTCTTGGTTCTTTCGGTAAAGTCACGTAGAAGGGAAGTAATAAAATAATAAAAATAAAACATAATCAAATATTTTATTTTATTATGTTTTATTTTTATTATTTTAGAAGAAGATGCGTGCTTTAATGCCACTGCTGCTGGGGTTGATTGCGTTTTAAATGCTGATCGTTAATGTCCGTGCAATGATGCGGCGACAGTACTGCTGAGTGGGCAGCGGTGCACGAGCAGAATTAATACAAAAAAAAACCTCAACACATTCATCAATGACAACACTGTGGCCTTAAAAGGAAAAATATATGTAGCTGGAGACGTTTCGGGCAATGGCCCTCTTGTGCAATGAAGGGCCATTGCCCGACACGTCGTCTGTTATATATGTTTCATTATTTTAAGGACACACGGTGTAATTGATTAACGTTTGTTGCTGAAGTGTGTGCGTGTGGTGATATTTGTTTTGGTGATCATGTTTTTGATGATGATGATGATGATGACTTGGTTTGTATTTTTCACGATGACGATGATGCTGCTGAAGCTCATCTTAATGACGACGACAATGATGATGATGATGATTATCGTGATCATAATGATTGAAGTTATCATTTAACCTCAAACTCATGGCTGTGCAAAAGTGCACACCGGGATCGAACGGCATCGTCCCTCGAGGCGCGTCCGCGTCTGGGTCGATGTCCCCCGCCGACGGACGGCTGTCGCAAGGAGGGAAATCCCACGGGAGAATTCCCCGGAAAATTAATCGATGCCATTATATCGACGCGATCACAACTCTTGGGCACAAGTGGAAACAACAACAACAACGAAATAATAATCAGTTTTACCTTGAACCCGTCCGAATACTTCATAATCCACGGACACCAATCGCTTGCTCATATCCGCGCTGGTGGGTGGGGACGTGCGATGGGAGGAGCGGGGAGCTAACGACGACGACGAAGCAGCAGCAGCAGCTGATGATGATGTGGGAGATGACGAGGGGCACAAGAGGAGGGTGATGATGGTGATGATGATGAGTGGCGGCACTCCTCGTTTTCTCCCTCTCGCTCTGTCTCCAGCCACGGTTGACGCACCCCGCGCCAGCAGCGCCCTCTCTCTCTCTCTCCCTCTCCACTCCGTCTCATCGCTTTGCCTCTCCTCTCCCTGCGTCTCCACGCTCCCCTCTCTCTCTCCACTCCTCTCCACTCCGTCTCATTGCTTTGCCTTTTTTTCCTCTCCTCTCCCTGCGTCTCCACGCTCCCCCCCCTCCCTCTCCACTCCGTCTCTTTTTTACGATCAGTAGAAACAAGAAGATGCTCGGTGTAGTCGGCACTTTGCTTCGTTCATCATTTCGGTTTTTTTAAACTTTGCTTTATGTAACCTCGCTCCCGCTCACTCTCTCGCTCTCTCTCGTTCTGCACGCAGCCCGTCTCTCCACTCCTCTGCACTCCGTCTCATCGCGTTGCCTCTCCTCTCCCTGCGTCTCCACGCTCCCCCCTCTCTCTCTCTCTCTGCCTACTTCCCTCCCTTTCTGTCCACCCTCTCTTTTTTTACGATCAGTGGAAACAAGAACATGCTCGGTGTAGTCGGCGCTTTGCTTCGTTCATCATTTCGTTTCTTTTTCAATGCTTTGCTTTATGTGCCCCCTTCCCCCTTTTAAAATGAAATATTTCACAACAGATTTCACGCTCTGCTCCTTCTTACCCCTTCCCTCTCTCTTTAACCCCCCTCTCTCCCTACTCCATGCCTATTTTCCCCCTATATTTTCTATGTAATATTTGTCCCTGCGCAAGGATGACACGCAAATTCGTGAAGCGTTTTCTCTCACCTAGCCCACTCTTTCTCTTCCAACCTCACTCATCTCTTCTCACTCTCTTCCCTCCCACTCTCAAATCCATCTCTGCTCTCCCCTCCTCTCCCCTCCACTCCCTCTCCGCCACGTTACGCGTTGCAGTATTTATAGCTCGGCTACGAGGCGCTGGCGTACGTCGAGTCAGTGTTTGTAAATGCAACAACGTGCACTCTCTGCGATGGGCACCCACCCCGGAGTTCGAGAAGCAGCAGAGGTCGCATTACGCACAAGGCGCAGAGCTCACGCCTAAGAGAAGGTGGTGACGATGTGGGTGGTGATGATGATGATGCATCTTTAGGGTAGATGCTAGTTTTATTGCCTCCCTCTATACAGGACCTTTCTCAAGATCTCCTCACCTCCCTCACCATCTCTTCACCTCCCTCACCACCTCCTCACCTCCCTCACCATCTCCTCCCCTCCCTCACCATCTCCTCACCTCCCTCACCATCTCCTCCCCTCCCTCACCACCTCCTCACATCCCTCACCATCTCATCACCTCCCTCACCATCTCCTCAGCCCCCCTCACCATCTCCTCACCTCCCTCACCATCTCCTCACCTCCCTCACCATCTCCTCACCTCCCTCACCATCTCCTCAGCCCCCCTCACCATCTCCTCACCTCCCTCACCATCTCCTCACCTCCCTCACCATCTCCTCACCTCCCTCACCACCTCCTCACCTCCCTCACCACCTCTTCAGCCTCCCTCACCGTCTCCTCACCTCCCTCACCGTCTCCTCACCTCCCTCACCATCTCCTCACCTCCATCAACATCTCCTCAGCCTCCATCACCATCTCCTCAGCCCCCCTCACCATCTCCTCACCTCCCTCACCATCTCCTCAGCCTCCCTCACCATCTCCTCAGCCCCCCTCACCATCTCCTCACCTCCCTCACCATCTCCCCAGCCTCCCTCACCATCTGCTCACCTCCCTCACCATCTCCTCACCTCCCTCACCACCTCCTCACCTCCCTCAACATCTCTTCACCTCCCTCACCATCTCCTCACCTCCCTCACCATCTCCTCACCTCCCTCACCACCTCCTCACCTCCCTCACCATCTCCCAGCCTCCCTCACCATCTGCTCACCTCCCTCACCATCTCCTCACCTCCCTCACCACCTCCTCACCTCCCTCACCATCTCCTCACCTCCCTCACCATCTCCTCACTTCCCTCACCACCTCCTCACCTCCCTCACCATCTCCTCACCTCCCTCACCATCTCCTCATCTCCCTCACCATCTCCTCACCACCTCTTCACCTCCCTCACCATCTCCTCACCTCCCTCACCATCTCCTCACCTCCCTCACCATCTCCTCACCTCCCTCACCATCTCCTCACCTCCCTCACCACCTCCTCACCTCCCTCACCATCTCCTCAGCCCCCCTCACCATCTCCTCACCTCCCTCACCATCTCCTCACCTCCCTCACCATCTCCTCACCTCCCTCACCATCTCCTCAGCCCCCTCACCATCTCCTCACCTCCCTCACCATCTCCTCACCTCCCTCACCATCTCCTCAGCCCCCCTCACCATCTCCTCACCTCCCTCACCATCTCCTGACCTCCCTCACCATCTCCTCACCTCCCTCACCATCTCCTCACCTCCCTCACCATCTCCTCACCTCCCTCACCATCTCCTCACCTCCCTCGCCATCTCCTCACCTCCCTCGCCATCTCCTCACCTCCCTCACCATCTCCTCACCTCCCTCACCATCTCCTCACCTCCCTCACCATCTCCTCACCTCCCTCACCATATCCTCAGCCTCCCTCACCGTCTCCTCACCTCCCTCACCATCTCCTCACCTTTCTCACCATCTGCTCACCTCCCTCACCATTTCCTCACCTCCCTCACCATCTCCTCACCTCCCTCACCATCTCCTCAGCCTCCCTCACCATCTCCTCACCTTCCTCACCATCTCCCCAGCCTCCCTCACCATCTCCTCACCTCCCTCACCATCTCACCTCCCTCACCACCTCCTCACCTCCCTCACCATTTCCTCACCTCCCTCACCATCTCCTCACCTCCCTCACCATCTCCTCACCTCCCTCACCATCTCATCACCTCTTTCACCATCTCATCAGCCTCCCTCACCATCTCCTCAGCCCTCCTCACGATTTCCTCAGCCTCTCTCGCCATCTCCATGCCAACGCCCATCATTAAACGGACGCCCCCCCCCCGCCCCTCGGTACCAAGATGATGCGTGGATGGTAACAGTCTCCATGGCGACGCCACGTGTCCACGTGCCCGCCGAGGTAGGCGAGCACAGTCTCTTTGCGTAATATTTTTTTAACCAATATTTTGGTCGTACATGTTATGTATTTCGTTTATTGTTGGATTTGAATCACAGTTCCTATGATCACTGTTACATTGTTTTTGTGGCTTTCTTTTGGTGATTTTGAGGACGATTTGGTCTGGCCATGTTTGTTTGTTTTAGTACAGAGTTGGCCTACATTGTTTTATGGTTGTTATTGTTTTACTTGCATCTCACTGGGATTTTTGCACACAGCGTTGAAATGCGGTGTTTTTTCTGGAAGACTTTGCTGTTTTTCCCCGAGGATTTTTCTGTTGCGTGTAGCCACTTTAAGATGTTTCTTGTTCATGTTTTTGTTTTATTGCGGTTGCACCCGAGTCAAGAGCCGCATGGCTCACAGGGTTATACCTAATAAATGAAACTGACACAATATGAGCCCCCCCTCCTCCCTCGCTGCAGACTCAACGACTCGCCTCCTCCACTCCTGCCCGCCCTGGGACGTATCATCCCGCGCCGAGTCCCAGACTCAAACCCAGGCTGTCGGCGGTGCTGGTTCAGCGACTTTGACGCGCCTCATTAAGTATGAGCCCAATCAAAGAGGGTGGAGCGGTGGCACAGCGGTTAGCGCACTGCGCTATAAACCCGGTGATCCAGGTGTGTTTCCAAGGCACGGTGACCATCAGTGGCGAGTGATGCCAGAGCCGGCCCTGCCATTGTTTCCCCTAACCAGCGTGGTGAAGTATGGTCAAAAACACCACGAAAGGCTTGCTATGGGGACTGGGGAGGCCTTCATGATTTTCTGAATTGAGACTGACTGGAATTGCTCGTGTATTTTGAGAGAGAGAGAGATACCCAGACGCAGGTGTCAAACTCACGTTGTATGTATGATGTTGAGCCTCTTTCGCACCCTACGTAGACACCCGTGCGAATCGGAGGTGCGGGCAAAGGACAACAAACCAAACACAAAAAAGCAGTTCTTAAGAAATTAGTTTTCAATCGAGATTTAAAAGTACACGGGCCCCGGTGGCTTCCTAATATCGCAAGAGCGTTCCAGACGGCCGCACCTCCGGTTAGCACCGTTGCCTCCGTACGGTGCGGTACCTGCGTGCAAGTGCATCGGAAAGCACGCGACGCGGTGACCGCTATCTTCGTTAGATGGCGAGCCAAACGTCGCTGCTGCGAGGAGTGACCACCGGAGTTTGCGCGATGATGGCTTATGCCCCCCCCCCACCCCTTGACGAGATCGGCGCTGAATTGGGGTTCATTTGTGGCCAAGCACTTGGCGTGGAAATGAATGCGACCTGATAATATCCATCGCTGTATCTCATCCCGTCCTCCCACATCTGCCTGAGTGTAATGTACACGGGCCACTCTCGTCCCGTGTTGGTGGATTGCATTGACGGCAATTGTGGTTTGTATACTGCACACTTGCAGTAGGCGGAGCGGTGGCGCTACGGTTAGCACCATCTGAAGCAGTCCTGTCCCCCCGTACCCTCCGCTTTCCCTCTACCAGGCCGCACTGACCGGCGTGGTGAAGTATGGTCAAACACCCCCCACCCCCCTCCCATACAAATTGACACAACGTCAGAGGCTTTCGTCCAACAGTGGAATTTAATTGACTCAGTGCCCGTTAGTTATACGTTCATACACGTACGAAATCGAGTGCAAATAACTCATTCATGGACACAAACGCATTGAGGATATAATTACAGTACTCTACACTGAAATTAGGAACCGTAAGTTATTCACAAGAATAAATATTAAAAAAATAAAACAATTAAAACCTCCCCGCATCGGTTACTAAGACCGCCTTAAGACATACCAATGTCGGATAGGCCAACGTTTCTGGCTGTGGTTCTTCTTGGCTCCCACCTCTGTTCATTAACAATAGACGTATTGTAAATACATACGGAGATAAAATACAATAGACGTCTCTCCTATGCAGTCTTCAGTGCTGTTAGCGAGCACCTATTAAGGCCGGAACGGCTCAAGAAGGGATGGGTGGCCAACTCCACGTCCGGGCAAGTGCTGATGTTTACACTCCGCAGCAGGTATTCATTTGAGGCTGAGTCGACCTAAGAGAGGCCCAGAACCGGTTCAAATATTTGTCACCGTTATTGGTCGTGAGCGGGAATCAAACCCGTGGGACTCCGGGTTCGTAGCGCTGCGCAGCGCTAACGACGGCGCCACCGCTCCCCACATGCATACAAACAAAAGACAAAGATCCCCCGTATAGCCTGAACAGTCTGTTGGGGCAAGTGCTGTTAGCGAGCACCTATGAAGACCGGAACGGCACACGAGGGGTTGGGTGGCCAACACCACGTCCGGCCGCCTTTGTCTCCCCAGTGGCGATGTTTACGCACCGCACCAGCTACTCATTTGAGGCTGAGTCGACCTAGGGGATGCCCAGGACAGGTTCAGATAATCGTCACTGGGTGTTGGCCATGAGCGGGAATGGAACTCAAGGTTCGTAGCGAAGTGCGCTAACCACTACACTACGCACACACAAACAGTATACACAACCAGATTTGAAGCTTTCGTGACTGCAAGGATTCATAATCTAGGTAAAAAATAAAATAAATGAAAACAACAATTTAGGTAAAAAATAAAATAAATGAAAACAACAATTTAGGTAAAAAATAAAATAAATGAAAACAACAATTTACTTGTTTTCATTTATTTTAAAATAAAAAAATAAAACAACAATTTAATTGCTTTCATTTATTTTAAAATAAAAAAACGAAAACAACAATTTAATTGCTTGATTTATTATTTTTTACCGACGTGACCTTAACGAAAGAAATCAAAGAGTATACACAACCGGTTGGTGCGACAGGAATATCATCAACAGCCATGGCCAATCCACTGCTGGATGAAAGCATCCCCAGTCCGCACACCGCTTCTCACCAATCATCGCAAAGATCGCAGATAAATACTCGGCCCAGCCTTTTCCCCACCACACTAAAGTGATAATCACAGGATTTATGTTTCCGTCGCATAAAATAATGCGCGTTATTATTTACAATGATATAATTGCCATTACGAAATAGCGTGCATTCTTCCCACAATCTCATCACCACCGGTGCTCTCTGATGGGTGACGCAACCCGCGTGTCCATGGCAACGGTCGCCTTGGCAACGGCCAGGGTGAGGTTGTGCGCGTGGAGGGGTGGTGTTGGTGCTAATGGGTGTGATGGTGGTGATGGTGGTTATGGTGAGGATGGTGATGGTGAGGATGGTGGTGGTGATGGTGATGGTGAGGATGGTGGTGGATGGGTGTAATGGTGGTGGTAACGAGTGTTGATGGTCATGGTGATGATGGTGGTGAGGATGGTGATGGTGAGGATGGTGGTGGTGATGGTGATGGTAATGGTGGTGGTGGATGGATGTAATGGTGGTGCTAATGCGTGTGATGGTCATGGTGATGATGGTGGTGCGGATGGTGGCAGTGATGGTGGTGATGGTGGTGATGGTGATGGTGAGGATGGTGGTGATGGTGGTGATGGTGGATGGATGTAATGGTGGTGCTAACGGGTGTTGATGGTCGTGGTGATGATGGTGATGGTGAGGATGGTGGTGATGGTGGTATGGTGAGGATGGTGGTGGATGGATGTAATGGTGGTGATAACGGGTGTGATGGTCATGGTGAAGATGGTGTGATGGTGGTGATGGTGAGGATGGTGGCGGTGATGGTGGTGATGGTGGTGATGGATGGGTGTAATGGTGGTGGTAACGGGTCTGATGGTTGTGGTGATGATGGTGTGATGGTGGGAATGGTGTTGGTGATAATGGTGATGGTGTGATGGTAATAGTGGTGGTGGATGGGTGTAATGGTGATGGTAACGGGTGTGATGTTTGTGGTGATGGTGATGATGGTGGCGGTGATGGTCGTGATTGTGTTATGGTAATGGTGGTGGTGGATTGGTGAGCTGGTGGTGGTAACGGGTGTGATGGTTGTGGTGATGATGGTGTGATGGTGGTTGTGATGGTAATGGTGATGGTAACGGATGTGATGGTCATGGTGACGATGGTGTGATGATAATGATGGTGGTGGATGTGTGTAATGGTGGTGGTAACGAGTGTGATGGTTGTCGTGATGGTGATGATGGTGGCGGTGATGGTGATGATGGTAATGGTGATGGTGTGATGGTAATGGTGGTGGTAACGGTAGTGATGGTTGTGGTGATGGTGATGATGGTGATGGTCGTGATTGTGTTATGGTAATGGTGGTGGTGGATTGGTGAGATGGTGGTGGTAACGGGTGTGATGGTGGTGGTGATGCTGTGACGATTATCTGAACCGGTCTTGGACCACCCCTAGGTCGACTCAGCTTCAAATGAACACCTGGTGCGGTGTGTAAACATCGCCACTGGGGAGACAAAGGCGGCCGGGCGTGGTGTTGGCCACCCACCCCCTCGTGTACCGTACCGGCCTTCATAGGTGCTCGCTCATAGCAGTTGCCCCAACAGCCTCTGTAGGCTATAGAAGACATCTTTGTCTTCTATGATGGTGTGGTAGTGATGGTGGTGATGGATGTGATGGTAATGATGGTGTGATGGTGGGTGTGAAGGTGATGATGATGGTGGTGATGTTAGTGATTGTGTGGTACGATGGTGATAGTTGCGGTGGTGATGGAGAGAGTTTTGAAGGAGTGCTCAGGAGGTGTGAGTCAGAGAGTATGGTAGAGCGGTTTAAGGATGGCAATGATTTTTATACGAGATGTTGTGATCATTATTTTGTAAATATTGTTGTTGTTATCGTGATAGGGAAGACAGGAGGTGATCCCCCACGTAGCCTCTGTAAGATGTTGCGGCAAGAGCACTTAGCGAGTAGCACCTATGAAGGCCGGCACGGCACACGAGGGGGTGGGTGGCCAACACCACGCCCGGTCGCCTTTGTCTCCCCAGTGGCGATGTTTACACCCCGCACCAGGTACTCATTTGAGGCTGAGTCGACCTAGGGGAGGCCATGGACAGGTTCAGATAATCGTCACCGGTGTTGGCCGTGAGCCGGAATCAAACTCGGGTTTGCCGGGTTCGTAGCGCATCGTAGCACTAACCGCTGCGCTACCGCTCCCCCACAAACACACACAAAGACAAAACTCCCCCGTATAGCCTGAACAGACTGTTGGAGCAAGTGCTGTTAGCGAGCACCTATGAAGGCCAGAACGGCACACGAGAGGGTGGGTGGCCAGCACCACGCCCAGCCGCCTTTGTCTCCCTAGTGGCGATGTTTTTACGCACCGAGCCAGGTACTCATTTGAGGCTGAGTCGACCTTACAAACACCTACACGCACGCGCAGACACTCACACACACACTCACACACACTCACACACACTCACACACACACTCACACACCCCCCCCCCCTACACAGACGCGTGCGCGCGCGCACGCACGCGCATACATCACTATGGCGTCAATGCACGCGCATCCGGAGGGAGACGTCGCGACGCACGGATGAAGAAGACACCGGGAGCGGATGCGGAGACGGCAAACGCAGCGCGGAGGATACGTCCAGCGGCTGGGGCCAGGGTCTCCCCATCGCCCCCGTCCAGATCTCAGCTCCGTCTCCCAGCTCGCAGGGCCACGCTGTCAACTCGCCTTGCTCGTGGGTGCCAGCTTCCAGTCCCTGGCATCCCAGCAGCTCGCAGCCTTTCGGCTCTCGGCTCTCCAACAAACCGATCGACCCTGGGGGAATGAGTAGCACGATCGGAGGGAACGGCCGCCGTACGTATGCGTGTACGTGCTTCTGTGTGTCTGTGTCGTCGTCGTCTTTATCATCAGCCACGGTCGATCCACTGCTGGATGTAGACCCCCCCCCCCTCTCCCAAGCCGCCACCATCTCCCCCGCGATGTAGAAATGCACCCAGCGTCGGCATGACGCGTCGCTTTGCTGGCTCCATCCTCGCTTCGGCGGACATCCTCTCCGTCGCGTTCCAGCCATTGGCTGCTCCTCCGTCATCGTTCTTGACCATCAAGCCACCCACCATCCCTTCTAGCGACAGTCCGAATGATGTCTTTAGCCCGGCGTATGTCCTCTAATCCATGTGCTGTCAATGCTGTTCCAGCGTGTATCGCCCCATGCCTCTTTGCGCGGATACGTGTGTGTACGTGGGTGGGTACGTGTCCCGATATGTACGGGGAGCGGTAGTGTAGTGGTTAGGGCACTGCACTACGAACCCGTCGGCCCGAGTTCGATAACCGCTAACGACTGAGGTCCGCTCGAGCTTATATTATGTGGTGTGTAAACATCAGAAGTGGGGAGACAAAGGCGGCCGGGGGTAGCGTTCGCCACTCACCCCGTCGTGTGACCTGCCGGGCTTCGTGTGTGCTCGCGAACAGAACAAAAGTGGGGAGCGGTGGTGCAGTGGTTAACGCATTGCACTACGAACCCGGTGACTACGAGTTCGATTCCTTGGCACGGCTAACATCAGTGGCGATACATATCTGAACGGGTCCTGTATTGGAGGGGGGGTGGCAACGGCCTGTGAAGGTATTCACCTAGCAGTGGAGAGGCAGTGGCCGCTGCTGTTGCTGATGGTGTTCTTGAAGATTATTATAGTGATGATTTCGTTGATTAATAGCAAAGCCGTGGGGAGGCCTCCTGGCAGTGTATAACCAATGACTGAGTGCTGATGATGATTTTGATTTCGATGTTGGTGATGATGATAATTAACATAATTTCGCTATCCTTTCCCGGAATTCACACCACCTCTATTGTAGTCAAATCTTTACAACCGCTTCGCAATCTCCACTAGCATCGTACACACCCGTGCATTTACTTAACAAAGGTGGGTTCACGCACTGTGCTATGAACCCGACTACCTAAGTTCGATTCCCGGGCGCGGCTCACACACCAGTGCCCGATACGTTACACAGTAAGACAAAGCAGTAGGCTGGCAAATTCGAGTCCCTCACCCCCCCCCCCCCCCAAAATCGATTATTTATTTAATCGAAAGGCGACCCCTGGATTGTGATAATTTATTGAATCATCATTGGGTGTAGGTGTAAGTGGGCAGGTGATTCATCTTACCGTGTTTTTTTTAGTATTTCCGCGCTTTACAAAAAACAATACTATTGTTATTATCATGATCATTTTAATGGGGATGCTGTCTTGGTGTAATGGTCAGTAACACTGGACTTTAAATCCAGAGGTAACCCTGTTCGGTCTCCCGGCGCGGGAGTTGAAGCAATGCTGCACATTTCTAAATGTCTACAACCACAGGTAGTCGATCGGAAGCCCTTCCGCTAGCAGTGGCTTGAGGAAGACGGTTCTTGGTGGCAAGATGTTATTTGCCTCACCTGGTATACAGGAGGTCATGGGTTCGATCCCGACCCTGACGCCTGTATGTTAGGAATTTTTTTGTTCTCGCCATGGTGGTCGTGTGGATTTTTCTCCGGTTGCTCCGGTTTTTCAGAATCAACATACAATGGAGTATTTGGCGGCTGTAAATTTCCATGCGATAAGCCACTTCTTTGAGCTACAATTTGTGATAGCCAGGTCACTTCTGAAAAAGAGTTATAGAGCTCAGTGGGCCTTACCTGGTAAAACAAAAATTGCTGAACTCGTAGTAGTTAGTTCATTTCATGGCGGAATATTTACCCAATGTTATTGTTATGATTTCCACTCAGGCTCCGTCGTTTTACCAGCACCACCGCCAACCACCTTTCACTCGACACCAAGGCCCATCTTCCCCTCTACATAAATGGACGAAGACAGCACCACCACCACGGCCTGGTCCAACACCACCACCAGCAGTAGCACCATGCGTGCCAACACCACCACCTGCCACTGCCGGCTCCAGGCCGTCCGTGGCCGAGCCACTGACAGCCGTCGAGGTGGAGTGCCTGGCCACACTGTGCGTGTGCTCCGTGCTGCTGGCGCTGCTGTTCTGCGCGGGCACCTACGGCAACGTGGCTGTGCTGGCTTCCTTCCTGGACCCGGCCTTGCGCAAGGCACGCTCTAGCCTGGACCTGATGCTGGTGAACCTGGCGCTCTGCGACCTGCTCGTGTCGTGCGCGCTGGCGCCCACCTTCGCTTTCGTGCTTTTCCTGCAGGAGCACGAATCCTCCTCCGTCGCCACGGCCACCGCCGCCACCGCGGCCACCACCACAACAAACGGCTACAACAACTACAACCACGGCGACGGCAGTGGCGGTGGCAGCAACGGCAGCGGCCTCCACAGCGGCGGCAACAGCAGCGGCGGTCGTGACAAGAGCAGCGACGACGAGGACATCAACATCATTGTGAACGTGAACAACAAAGACGCCGCCGCCGTCGCCGCCGCCGCCGTGGCGACCACCATCGCCGCCGCCACCGCCGCCGCAGGCGCGGCCGTCCAGGGCCCCGCGGCCCTTTGCTTGGCCTTCGCGGTCGCGGGCTCGGCGCTCCCCCTGCTCAGCCTGCAGACGGTGGCCATCATCGCCGTGCAGAGGCTGCGGCTGGTGCTGGGCCGCCTCCAGCCGGGCCGCTCCTCGACGTCCCTCCCCACCGCCCTCTGCCTCTCGCTGGGCCTGTGGACGCTGGCGCTGACGGTGGCCGCGCTCTCCACCCTGGCCGGCTCACCGGCCGTGCGCGTCCGCCTGTGCGCCTCCTCCTCGTTGGCGGCCGCCTCGACGCCGACCGTCGACCCGACCGCGACCCCGGCTGCCCCTGTCGCGACCCCGAAACCGATCCCGGGCCACTACTGGATGGCGGCGGAGACGGCGTCGGTGTCGGCCGCGTGGACGCAGGTGGCGCCGCAGGTGTACGCGGTGGGGTTCGGGGGCTGTCTGGCGCTGGTGGTCGCGTCCTACAGCCTCATTGCGCACGCGCTGCGGCGCAAGGCCAAGATTCGACGATGCGCCATCATCACGGTGGACGTGCCCAGGCAACGCGTGCAGCCACGGGGGCTGGCGCCATCTGGTCACCACCAGCAGCAGCAGCTTCAGATTCACCAGCAGCAGCAGTCTCAACTTGAACACCAGCAGGAGCTTCAGAATGACCACCGTCAGCAAGTGATTCAACGTCATCAGTCTGAGCAGCAGCAGCAATCTCAACAGGAGCAGCAGCAGCAGCAGTCCCAACAGCACCAGCATCAGAATCAACAGCAGCAGCCACAGCGGTCGGAGCATCAGTCTCAAAATCAGCAGCAGCAGTCCCAACGGCACCAGCAGCGGAATCAACAGCAGCAGCGGTCGGAGCATCAGTCTCAACATCAGCAGCAGCAGCAACAGAGTCATCATCAGCAGCAGGAGCCTCAACATCTGCAGCAGCACTCTCAGCATCAGCCACAGGCCCACGCTCTTGTCATAAGCAACAACCAGGTGAAGTGCTGCAGCACCATCAGCTGGGGGGCAATGCTGGCCTATTGGGACAATGCTGGTTTATTGAGACAATGCCGGTCTATTGGGACAATGATAGCCTATTGGGACAATGATGGTCTATTGAGACAATGCTGGTCTATTGGGACAATGATGGTCTATTGGGACAATGATGGTCTATTGAGACAATGCTGGTCTATTGGGACAATGATGGCCTATTGGGAAAATGATGGTCTATTAAGACAATGCTGGTCTATTGGGAGAATGATGGTCTATTGGGACAATGCTGGTCTATTGGGACAATGATGGTCTATAGGGTCAATGATGGTCTATTGGGACAGTGCTGGTCTATTGGGACAATAATGGTCTATTGGGACAATGATGGTCTATTAAGACAAAGCTGGTCTATTGGGAGAATGATGGTCTATTGGGACAATGCTGGTCTTTTGGGACAATGATGGTCTATTGGGACAATGATGGCCTATTGGGACAATGATGGTCTATTGGGACAATGCTGGTCTATTGGGACAATGATGGTATATTGGGACAATGATGGTCTATTGAGACAATGCCGGTCTATTGGGACAATGATAGCCTATTGGGACAATGATGGTCTATTGAGACAATGCTGGTCTATTGGGACAATGATGGTCTATTGGGACAATGATGGTCTATTGGGACAATGCTGGTTTATTGAGACAATGCCGGCCTACTGGGACAATGCCGGCCTATTGGGACAATGCCGGTCTATTGGGACAATGCCGGTCTAGTGGGACAATGATGGTCTATTGGGATAATGCTGGTCTATTGGGACAATTCTAGTCTATTGGGACAATGCCGGTCTAGTGGGACAATGCTGGTCTATTGGGACAATGGTGGTCTATTGGGACAATGCTGGTCTATTGGGACAATGGTGGTCTATTGGGTCAATGCTGGTCTATTGGGACAATGATGGTCTATTGGGACAATGCTGATCTATTGGGATAATGCTGGTCTATTGGGACAATTCTAGTCTATTGGGACAATGATGGTCTATTGGGACAATGGTGGTCTATTGGGAGAATGATGGTCTATTGGGACAATGGAGAGAGACGCCTTAGCCAAAGAGGATCGGCTAAAGCGAGAAAGAGTGAGCGAGAGCCGGCTATAGACAAACCGGGGATTGGAACGCGCATCTCTCGTGAGTTAAACTCAGCAACCGTCGTCATCATCATTTGGATTTACGGATGAAATATGCCTTTCAAACGTAAATTATTATTATCATCGGTCCCCTCGGCTACAACTCCTAGGACACAGAATGTGTTTTTAAAGGTAATCTCACTGGGAAATGCGGGGCAGGAGGATGGTGGTGGGGAGTGGTGGGGAGGGAGGGAGTTCGGCTCAGTGGCCCTGCTGCCAAACCCATAATGCACCCCTCCCACCCTTCACCGGTAGCTTCTCAAACTGGTGCTGGTCGCCTGCCAGCCGATCTTTACCTGAGAGCATGTGGTTAATCTCAGTTGCGGGCTCTCTCTCACCTGGTGAGCGAGCATTTTACAATGTGAGCATTTTCTAACGCTCACACTCGAGCTGCTGCTCACCACAGCGCAACTCGTTTCGACGCATCGGTCGCCGGATCGACGACGGCATTCGTCGCAATTTCTCACTGATCAGAGTGGGCAGCGTGAAGGCTCCCATTTTCCACTCCGGTAACCATGGATGATGATGATGATAAAATCGGTAAACGTGAAAAGAAACAACGCAGCTTGGGGTGCTCGCAAGCAACTCACATTTTGCGTGAATGTGAGTGCTTGGGTGGCGAGGCGAATGCCGGATGTGCCCGCTCCCTTTTCAACTTGCGCCTTCATTCGGCTCCAGGTCGCGACCCACGCTCGCCACGCCAGGCCCCCCGCCGCCGCCGCCGCCGCCACCGCGCACCTCAACCTCTCCTCCTCCAAGGACTCGCGCGCCCTCGTCACGTGCGTGCTCATCGTCATCTCAGCGCTGGTTTGCTGCGCCCCGCTGAGCGCGACGCTCGCGCTCGGGGAGGAGGAGGCGGCCGTGCCGCAGAGCTCGCGGCGCCGCCGCCTCGAGCTGTGCAGCGCAGCCCTCGCCCTCTTCAAGTCGGCGCTCAACCCCTTCCTGTACTCGCGCAGTGGGCCCGGCCTGCGCAGGAGGGTGTCCTGCTGCCTGCGTCTCGTCGTGGCCCTCGGCTGCCTCTGCTGCTGCTGCCGCCCCAAGGCCCGGCTGCAAGGCCACGCCGTTGGAGTCGCGGTCGGCGGCGGTGGCCGTGGCCGCGGCGGCGCCGGCGGAGGCGGCAGAATCGGCGTGCGGAGGTCATCGCACCGTGACACCAACTCGGCGTACATCCTCTCGCCGAGGGCTCCGCGCCGCCAGCTGGTGGACCAGGCGTGCGGCCCCAGCTCCTCCTGCAGGGGAGAGAGGACGTTTCCCAGCAACGACGTCGTCATGGGCGGCGGACGGGGCGGCGGCCGCGCCACGGACACGGACACGGCGACGGCGGAGCCGGGCCCGTGCGGCGTGCTCGTGTCCGGCTGCCACCCGTACGTGCACCGCAGCGGCGGCAGTGGCACCGGCGGCGTCACCAGCAGCTCGCTAAACACGCGCGTCGAGCCCTACGGCGGCAGCGGCGGCGGCAGCAGCAGCCCCTCGCAGCAGGAGGCCAGCAGCGACGGCGGCTTCGTCCACCTCCCCTACAGAGACGACGACGAAGACGACGACGACGACTGCAACGGAGGCAGCCTCTTCCGTTCCAGCCGGACGCGTTCCCGACTCGGGGCGCTGTCCACATTTTCAGCCAATTCGCAACGTCAGCAGCAGGAGCAGCAGCGGCATCGGTACCAGCAGTATCAAGAGCAGCAGCAACAGCAAAATCAGCAGCAGAACGTGGCGAAGCTGTCGGACTTTGTGGCGGAAGGGTTGGCCGGAGAAGCGGGGCAGATCCCCGTACCTTCTGTTTGAAGCGTTGGGGCAATGTTTGCGATAAGAACTCACAATGGTGATTTATAGCCCCTTTGTTGTCAACCCACTGCTGGATGAGAGCCTCTCTCTCCCATAACGTGTCAGTCGTAACATTGCCCCTACATTTACCTGGCAGAGCCTCGCTGAGTCTCGCCAAGTCTCAAGACTCGTTTTCAGGAGGCTCCTGCAGGGTTGGAATGTTTGGCCGATTTCCACGAGTGTTTGGCATCGTGGCAGGAGTATAGCAGAGAAAGCCCACCACACATACATCATGGGAAACAGTGATGGCTCTGCACGGATAGATTCAATCATCCATCGCTGTGCTACCATCTCCTTGTGTCACTCCGCAGCCCCAGGAAGCACCCACCCATGCAGTCTCCCATCCGAGTACTAACCAGGCTGAACCCCGCTTAGCTTAAGATCTGAGGAGATTCATACCTTGACGGCACAACGGAAAATCACCTTCTTTCGTCGGTTTGCCATATCGCTCATTGGTGGGGATAGAGCATTCTCCAGCATGAGACCAAAAAGGAGGAACGCTCACTAACAATGCGTGATTCAAACATTCGCCATCAACATTCTGTTGCCAACTCTGATCCAATTGTGGCAACATCCACATCGCCATGGCAGGAGGCATAGGATGACCGCACTGGCTGACTTTACACAAATTGGTACTTCTTTTATCTACCTGAGATGATGATGGACGATCATTTGACTGATTCGACCATCCACCGAGATTTGAGTGAATGCATCCCACTTACAGAGCCACACGGCTTACCCAACTCAAAATGTACACGCGTCTACGTTACTGGCCATTGATGGAAATTGAACAAAGACAAAGATCCCTCGTATAGCATAGGGGCAAGTGCTGTAGGCGAGCACATATGAAGGCCGACACGGCATGCGACAGGGTGGGTGGCCAGCAACCACGCCTGGACCAGTCTAAACACGCACACACAACTCAGATCCCCCGTATAGCATAGGGGCAAGTGCTATAAGCGAGCACTTATGAAGGCCGGCACGGCACACGAGGGGTGTGTGGCCTGCAACCACGCCTGGACCAGTCTAAACACGCACACACACAACTCAGATCCCCCGTATAGCAAAGGGGCAAGTGCTGTAAGCGAGCACCTATGAAGGCCGGCACGGCACGCGATGGGGTGGGTGGCCAGCAACCACGCCTGGACCAGTCTAAACACGCACACAGCTCACGCTAAATGGACTGCAGTCTAACTTCCTTGGACCGAGCAGTGCAGTGCAGCACATTTTTCCGACCTTCGGTTTCAGTGGTGTCGCGTGGTGAGCATGGGCCCTGGTGAAATAAATTGTGATGGGACTCGCCACTGTCCAATTTTCCCCGCCTCTTCCGAACACGATGCTACCTGGAGTCCCCTTCGGCCTCAGTGCAGCTGCACCGCCTGCACACTCCATATTTAAGGCCACTTGACCTGAGTGATAATGATGATGATGATTACGATGACAATGACGAGTGGACATCGGCCAGGAATTGAACTGGTCACCTCAAGGAACTGAGCTAATAGCTGTCTGCATGTTACGTATGGTTGGCTTTAATACGTCGTAGGTTTTCGCGACCCAATATTATCCATAATACAGGGTATTTTTTGGGGTTAAATCGCGCAGAATATAAACGTGTCGTTAAACCCGCCCAACACCCGACACAGCTAATTAGCAAAGTTTTTCAACGAAAACAGAACGTGCCAATTAGTTACTAGTTCGGCACACCGTTTGAGTGTTGGAGAGTAAACCTGAAACATTTACAATTCAAGAATTGTGACGTTTCGTTGGTAATTACAAGTGACCTCGTCAGGCAACAGCCGCAGTTCTGGTTGTCGTGATCTAACCCAAAAAACACCACCACCTCTCTTACATATCGTAGGCTGTAGCGTACGTTGAGCGCGACTGTCGACGAACTCCATGCGACGGGGAGACCCCCAAAGTGGTTTGCGGGGATAGGTGCCAAAGGCCCCAATTTAGAGCCCGGGGCCGCCTCGCTTTAAAAGAGCCCCCCCCCACCCCCTCCACCTCCACAACGGGAAGGAGCCACGGGGGCCTGCCCCAGCAGCCTTTGGGCGGCCCCTTTCACTCTGGACCACGCAGCCCGCGGTCGCCGATCGCAATTGCATTGGCAGTAAGTCGGCAACGACGTTTCGGAATTAATTTAGACGGCGAGTCTCTTTTTAAATCCTTTATATTAAGTTCGCATGCTTGCTTGCTTGCGTGCTTGCTTGCTTGCGTGCTTGCGTGCTTGCTTACGACCGTGCAAATCTTTTGGTCGTTTTTTAACCCACTTCCCGTGATCCAATCGAGCTGACATTTTGCACACAGACTCGTTGTGCGTGACAATTTATTTTCGTGAAATTTTTTTTCCAAAATGTTACACTTTTTATGAAAAAATAAATTATATTTAATTACCAATTGCTTAATGGTGGCAGGCAATCATCTGACCCATAGGTGGCAGCCATCTCAAGCCAGAGGACGAGAGGACTCTAGCCGCCACGCATATAAAGGATTTATAGTGAAAAACTTTGTTTTTACGGGTTAATTTTTTACGACGTCAAGTGCATTTTTTGTCGCGGTGGTAACCTCCGTTGTTTTATCTATCCGCGCTGTTCGCTGAGCGCGCGACGCATTCCGAACTTCGCCTCCCGTGTGACCCCCCCCACCCCCCACGCACCACGACGGCCATCCGACTCGCCACCCCCTCCCAGTGTTCTCACTTCGAATACGAACGAGTTCACGGTACGCACCGCACGGGCCCGATGATTGGTAAACGCGTCCTCGCTCCGATTTTACGAAACCACTAAACTCGTTATTCGGTTATGCCGCTGTTTCTGCGTTGGCAGAGGTGCACAGGCACAATTAACGAACAACAACGCTGCCGTCTTAAAAGAGAAAGCACAATATTTAATAAGTGACGTTTCGTGCAGTGGTCCTTCTTCATATCACACTGCCAGCGCTGTACTATCACCAAATAAGAAGCCGTGTGGGTTAGCGTACAGTGTGGATCTCAACAATGACCATTTCCGTTAAGTAAGTAATTACGCGCTGATTGCACCCGATGATTGGTAAACACTTCCCACGTGATGTTACAGCGAGCGGATTCTATTTAAAATCGAAGTCGCGTGCGTGTAGACAAGCGTGTCCCCACAGCGACCAACTGTTCACCGTCAAAATGCAAATCCAAGTCGTCACGCGTCGTACGAGCCGGATGATTGGTGAACTACACGTGGCTTGACGTAAAGAGCACTGCTGACTCTCTATTTAAGACAAAAAAACTCAACACATTTGTCAATAACACCGGGGCCTTAAAGGGGGAAAAAATATATAATAGGCGACCTTTCGGCCTATTATATATTTTCCCCTTTAAGGTCACGGTGTTATTGACGAATGGGTTGAGTTTTCTTGTATTGTGAATTGTGCTTATACGGCACTGCCAACGCAGTAGCATCACCAAATCATTTATTTAAGTCACATTTCATTCGTTTGTTTATGCACGCACGTGTGTTCGTGTGCCGACCTTCATAGGTGCCGCTCGCTAACAGCACTCGCCCCAACAGCCTGGTCAGGCTATACGGGGGATATTTGTCTTCGTTCACGCGGTTTCCACGTTGCATAGAGATGCGCATGCTTGATTCGAATGCTCTCCACGCCATGTGGGATGTGTTTATACCAAACCATCCGGTGCGTGCAGCGTTTAAGTAGAAAGGTTTATTGAAACGTTAGTTTAGGTGGAGAAGACTTTTGTTAGACGTGGGTCTCGTGGGGAATTTGTTAAACCGTGCCCGGTTAAGTCATGCCGCACACTGCATTCACGAGCCGAAAACGCGCGTTTTATTTCTCCATAAATCTGGCCGTCGCCTGATGATGCTGGTTGTAATTACTGGCGAAACTTCGTACTCGGATTTTTTATGTTGTGGGTTTACTCTCCAACACACCGGTGTGCTGTACTGGTAACGAATTGGCATGCTTTGTTTTACGTGACTAACCTCACTAATTGGCTGTGTCGGGTAGTGGGCGGGTTCAACGACACATTTATATTTACGCGATATAACCCAAAAAAAACCTCTATTATGGAAAGTGTATTTTATCATCACTAAAACGGCTTTTTGGTGCTCTTTACGAGGTGTGCTATGAACTCATGGACATGCCCCTGCTGCCACGTTTGTCCAATCGGTAGAGCCCCTAAACGTCTCCGTTATTCACCCAGGTGCTGTTGATTGCTGGCCGTTTGGCGTTCAATGGTCATGTGGCTCAGCAACCCTGATTTATCCATGGGACTCTCCCCCACCCCCCACCCCGATATCAAGATGATGAAAAGAGAAGATGCGTTATTGCCCTTTCCGGCAAGAATACGGGACGTGTTGAAGATGTTTAAACACCAAACTGACACCTTTATCGCGAGGCGCCAAGTCTGCATTGACCACACATCATGCTCGTGGCAGTTGTCCATTTGGTATTTGGACATCTTACCACACCGGTATTCTTAGATTTTTTTCATAACCTTCATTTACCCCCCCCCCCCCCCCCCCGGTTCAGTCTGCAACTTTGTACCAGATCGTTAAAATGTCACTCGTATAACAACGAAAGCCGGTTTGCTACAACAGCAAAAAACTAAATCAACCGGCACATTTGCGAACGTGACAACTGATTCGTTAGGCTGTGCCGGGTGGTGGAGGGTTATTGCAGTAATTGACATTGGAACGATCTGACACCCGAATAAACGAAATTGTGAAATGGTAATCTCGGTTGTGAAAGCCCTACGTGTGAAATGAAGCGTGCTTACGTAATAGGGCATATCTCTGTACCTGCGGCTCTCTCACCTGTGGGCCTAAAACGCACACGGCAGGTGGTCTGGGATTATTGGGCTATGACGTCACTCAGAGCCGACTTTTCCCACGTGACTCCCGTAAGCCGCTAGACATTCTCGGAAGTTCCGTCCATAAATTGACCGGAAAATGTGAATGTCACTGGATCTTATTGGTTCTTTCGGTAAAGTCACCTAGAAGGGAAATCAGAAAAAAAAAATGTATACATTTTTTAAAATAACAATATTATTATTTTTATTTTTATTTTATTATTTCCCTTCTACGTGACTTTACCGAAAGAACTAAGAAGATGAATCCCTGCAGTCACGGAAGCTTTAAATCGAAATGTCACTGGAGTTTGCGAGTTCATCGATTAATCGTTGCGTGCGGAATGATGCATTTTTACGACATCATCATCTGCAGCAGCAACAGTAGCATCAGCAGCGAGTAGCATTGCCGCTGAATGATACATTTAAGTACAAGAAAAATAATCAAAATCATTATCAATTTCATCCACGTAGTTAGTAGCAGCAGAAGCATCACGTTGATGATGATGGCGGGCGGTCGAGACGAACGACGGAGTGGCAGCCAAAGGAGGGAAGCCCGCCCGAGAGAGAGGACGTCCACCGCGGGAGATGGAGCGATGAAACCAGCTCGTGTGCAGGTGCAGGCTGGATGGATTGTTGCCTCTTCTGACTGGCCGTCGAACAAAGACGGTGGTGACCGCATCGCGCGCTTTCAGATGCGCATCTGCGGCCGTCTGGAACGCTCTTCCTTCCGATATTAGGAAGCCACTGGAACTATCCACTTTCAAATCATCATCTAGATTAACAAACTTATTGATGATTTTTATTTTGTCCTGCACTTCCGATTAGCAGGGTTGGCTACGTACGGTGCTGAACGAAGTTCAACATGCCGTACATACAGAACCGACGTGACAGATGGCAATGGATTGCAGAGGCCTTGCATCCAGCAGTGGACTGATCATTGTCCATGATAACAATGTTGAAAATATAAATCGCAATTCACAATATCGGCGTCATCACCAGCCCAAATCGAGGCTTGTTATTCCACTGCTGGATAAGGGCTTCCCCACGCTGCTACGGAGTTTGTTTGACCATACTTCGCCACGCTGGTCAGTGCTGTTTGGTGAAGGCGGGGAAACAAAGAGGACGGGAGCAGTATAAAGCACAGTACAGCAATGAGTTTCGCTGCCCTTGCCACTGCTGCCACTGCCACGGATGTCTATCGAGTCTCCAGGCTCCAGTGACGCACACGTCGCCTCGCCTGGCGGGGACTTAATGGCAGCGGGACCACGTGACGCTCCCTCTCCGCATCCCCTATTGCAGCACAAACAACATCATCAGCATTATCATCAGCAGCAGCAGCAGCGTCAGCAGTATAATTATTGTCAGGAGCCTAAACATCAGCAGCGTCAGTATCATCAACATCCTCAGCAGGGCCAGGTTCATTATCAGCATTATCATCAGCAGCGTCAGCAGTATAATCATTGTAAATAGCGTAAACATCAGCGGCGTCAGTATCATCAACATTCTCAGCAGGGCCAGGTTCATTATCAGCATCAACAGCAGCAGCAGCGTCAGCAGTATAATCATTTTTAGGAGCGTGAACATCAGCGGCGTCAGTATCATCAACATTCTCAGCAGGGTCAGGTGCATTATCATCATCAGCGGCAAAAACTATGAACGAAACTATTTTATTTGGCCACGTAAAAGCCCACTGAGCTCTTTTTCAGAGGCGACCTGGCCACACACGAGAGCTCATCCTATTGGCTTACATCATCACACGTGGGGATACAGCAGCAGCCAAATTATACGAGACGCGTGTTTATAAAAGTGGAGGGCAAAACCGGAGGGAAAATCCACGCGACCACGGGGAGAACACGCGAACTCCAAATATACATGCGTCGGGGTCGGGATCGAAGCCACCACCTCCTGTATACCAGGCGAGGTATACAGGAGGTCGTGGCTTAGTTAGTTAACATCTCTGCACCGTGTAACAGAGTGTAACAGAGTTCAACGACGGAGCGGCAGCCAAGGACTGGTGAAACGCGTCCGAATGGATGTCTAAGGGAATCAGTACGTGTGCTGGTTCCGAATAGATTATAATAGTAATTATATCACAGGCTCGTGAGACATCGCGGTGCCTTCATCCAGCAGTGGATTGGCCATGGCTGATAACGACAAAATATAACGTTTCGCTTTTTTTTTATATATGACGTCGTCGTTCGTGCCAATTTTATCTCACAATAGCTGAGCAGCAACTACAGACACGAGCTGGAAGGCAACCAGGCGGTGAACCGACGTTACCAATAATTGCCCGGAGCTCTGCAGCCCTCGATATTGTGAATATTTTTTGAACAAATGCATGATTGTGTATGCAAGTGGGAGGAAACCGGAGCACACAGAGAAAACCCACGCGCGTAAGGGGGCAACACTGTACCCCCCCCCCCCTACGGATGAAAACAAAAGCAAAGTTTGTTGGGAATAATAGCCATTTTCTATACTTTTTAGGCATAAGCAATAAAAAAATAACACAGTACCTCGGAACAAAAAATGTGTTACGTAGTGTAATTACATTACCATGGGACCTCCTTTGCCAGTACCAAAATATGAAATAGGTTTTCCCATTTTTTTCTGGCAACAAAACAGGTGTTGTGGACCAATCAGTTTCAAAGACAATGCATATATTATCAGAGTATGTGTTTCGTTTGTATTCTGACCACAAGTAGTGTGGTTAATGTAGACATGATTCCTTGTAAAAGGGTTCAGATTGGTGTTTTAACATCTTAACACCTGTTTTGTTATTCTTGGTTCTTTCGGTAAAGTCACGTAGAAGAGGAATAATAAAATAATAAAAAATAGGACGCTGTCTTTCCGACAGCTCTGTTCTTCGCCTGAGGACGGCTGCTTGCGTTGTGGCCGAAACGTCGTGAGAATTTTTATAATTTTTTATTTGTAATATTTTATTATTTCCCTTCTACGTGACTTTACCGAAATAACCAATAATATGAATCCCTACAGTCACGAAAGCTTTAAATCGAAATGTAACCTGTTTTGCTGCCAGAAAAAAGGGGGAAACCCTATTCTCATAGACTTAGGTTTTTTCGGTAAAGTCACGTAGGTAAAAATTTAAATTAATAAAAGTAAAATAAAAATAAAATAAAAATCACGACGTTTCGGAAGCAACACAAGCTTCCGTCTTCAGGTGGAACAGTCACAGCACGATAGCTGTATCACTTGATATCACTTGATACAGCTATCACTTGATACAACTATCGTGCTGTGACTATTCCACCTGAAGACGGAAGCTTGTGTTGCTTCCGAAACGTCGTGATTTTTATTTTATTTTTATTTTACTTTTATTAATTTTAATTTTTTACCTACGTGACTTTACCGAAAAAACCTAAGAATATGAATCCTTGCAGTCACGAAAGCTTCAAATCTAGAATATTATCATAGAGTGTAGTTACAGTCGCGAGCCACGGGGTGGTGTTTGCTAGTCGCGACAATTCCCCCCAATGGCAACGTCGTCAACATCTCGGACAGAACACCGATGGCACCGTCACCGCGTAATTGGGAGAATATACGAGAGCAAATAACATGATTTAATAAATCGATGGTAACGTGGGGGTTGACCTGTTTGCAACAGCGCCCCGTGTCTCGCATTCCACGGGTTCCGAGCCCCCAAACCCATCCCCCCAACTCCGCCCCCACCTCCCCCGGCCCCCTGCCTCTCTTTTTTTTACGATCAGAGGAAACAAGAAGATGCTCGGTGTAGTCGGCACTTTGCTTCGTTCATCATTTCGTTTGTTTTTCAATGCTTTGCTTTATGTGCCCCCCTCCCCCCTGTTTAAATGAAAGATTTCACAAAAGATTTCACGCTCTGCTCTCCTCCTTCTTACCCCTTCCCTCTCTCTCCCTGCTCTCCCCTGGCCCCCCTCGTGTTTCCGATCTCCTGCTCGCGCGTAGAGGCCAGGGACCGATCCATCGATTTTATTGGCAGCTTTGCTGGACGCGCTGAGATTGCAGCTGATCGCTTTGGGCATCATTTCTCTCTGTCTGTGTTAGTCTCTCTCTCTCTTTCTCTCTTGTGCGCGTGTCCTTTTTGTCTTATTCTGTCTCTATGCATGTCGCAATGTGCGCCTCTGTGTGTCTCTCTCTATGTCTCTCTGTGTCACTACTGTCCATGTCTGTTTGTGTGTCTCTATCGCTGTATGTGTCACTGTGTGTCTCCCTGTGTTGCTATGTGTGTCCCCGCGGATCAATCTATCGATCTTCGTCGCTCTGTGTCTCTCTATATGTCTCTGGGTAACTGCCCTTGTCTCTGTGTCTCCCGATGACTATCTATGTGTGTGTGTCTCTCTCTCTGGGTCTCTGTGTGTGTCTCTCTGTATCGCCTCTAGGCCTCACACTCTCACTGCACATCATGCGTTTTTTCTCCCACGCTCTAAACTTGATGTCGCTCAACTCTTATTGCGTTCCATTGTTTCCCCTCCGTCTCTGTCCAGTTCTCTAGAGCTGTCCTGCTCACATCCCCGTCTGCTCGTCTGTCTATGTGAATGACGTCTCTATCACAACCATCTCTCCTCCCTATCTGACTCCAAACGAACACAAAAAAATTACCCGCAAATTATTAAATTTGCGAAAAAGAGCTTTATAGCTTATCGGGTTCCTCCAGTATAAGTAAATATTCTGGAATCAAATATTCGGATTCTGAATCCGTTGCCCGCTTACTGGCAAACTAATAATGCCGCACAAAGACAGATGTACAATGGGCGCAAGGGGTGTGGGTTACCCTTTAAAATATGTGGGATGAGATGTGCTGCAAAGAGCTCTGAGACGTCCCGGCGTCTATAGGGCGCTGTTTATATATAAACAACTCCCCACTTCACCTCTTCTCTCCAGCACCCATTTCTCGAGCACCTCTTCAATGCAACGCGGTGCGTCAATCACCACTCGCCCCAACCGCTCCTCCCTTCGCTTCTCCATCTCTTCCTCTCTCCACACAACCTCTCTCCTTTTGTCTTCCCGCTGTCCTCAGCACATCACGTCTTTCCAACATATCCCTCCCCCCACAACACACTCCCTCCCCCATATGCGTCTCTCTCCGTCTTTCGTTCAGAATCATCATCAAAGACGGTTACTGCATCGCGCGCTTTCAGATGCGCTTCTGCGGTCGTCTGGAACGCTCTTCCTTCCGATATTAGGAAGCTACTTACATTTAAACATGGATTTAAAACACATTTCTTTAGAACTGCTTTTGTGTGTTTAGTTTATTGTCCTTCCCCCGCACCTCCCATTAGCACGGTTGGCTACGTACATACATCATCGTCATGCCTCGATCTCTCCGTGTCTCTCCGCATTGGTTTTCTCTCTCTCTCTCCACCCCTGGAAAACTGTCCACCACCTCTCCCCTTCCCCCGTCCATTGTCTCTCCACGTGTCTCGCTCGGCGCCTCTCTCCAGCATCCACCAGTCGTCAGTCACGCGGCTGTACGCCGGCGCTGAGCGATCTCGCCTCCCGGGAACACGCAGGAGCCATCTGCTCCCCGGGGTCGCGTGGGTTTGCCCGGCCCGCAGGGCACCACCGATCCGAGGAGGGTGCCTCTCGCTAATGAACAGCCCCCCCCCCCTCTCTACCCCCGCCCCCCCATTACTCAATTGTATGCCCCCTCCCCCACATCCATTTAAAGGCAGCTCTCCAGGGTGGCTCGGGAGGTACCCAAGTTCAAGTGGAAGGTGTCACAATAATAACAATAATAATGTCAGCTTGTAAAGCTGTGCCGCTGTCATGCAGCGCTCGCTCCTCGGTCTCGAAGAGAGAACGAGAGAAGGTCAGCGACTCAGAGTGGGCAGGAGGAACCACGGACTCGGAGGAGCCAGGAGGAACCACGGCCGCAGAAGCGCATCTGAAGGTGCGCGATGCGGTGACCGCCTTTGTCCAATGGCCAGCCAAAAAGCCGCTGCTGCTGCAAGGATGACCGGAGTTTGTGCGGTGATGGTTTATGCTCCTTGACGAGATCGGCGAGGTATTGCGGTCTAGCGCAAGGGCTTTCACGACCGAAGGTGACGCTGCGTTTCACAGACACAATCTGCAGTGTGGTTTCACAGTACGGGACGAATGTTGCGGCTTCGCGTTATCCCGAAATGTAGTTTTAAAAAATAGCGGTGTAAGTTTGCCAAATTTAGGAAAACCTTTGGACCACGGCGCTGCGCACAATGGCCAGCCATTAAAAAAACACGTCCCTTTGTGACGAGGCGTAGAACGTTACGGGGAATTCAGCCCTGCAGTAATAACCGGGGCGGTCTTCCCGATTCAAACTGTGCACCTTTCGGCCATGTCGCCCCCCCCACCCCCAGCAGTATAAAGCGAATCCATTGCTTGCAGAATTTGTTTTTACCCCACAATTCGGTCACATACACAATGCGAATATCAATCGGAAATACTGCAGTACGCATACGTGCAATCGATTCCTACCCGCACGATCAGACACGCGCGCGTGTCGTTGGTGAATATATCGATTTTGATCGATTAATCAATAAGTCGTGACGTGGCTTTGTGATTTGGTATTAAAGTAGGCAGCGTAAAGCCGGGGTGGGGTGTGTATGAGCGGGGGGGGGGGGGGGGGGCGAGGGGGGGAGCCCCCTTAAACCCCCCCCCCATCCATCCCCAGCCCCCCCGAGTGAATTTGCACGTTTGACAATTGGCTCTCGTGGAAAATTATAAACGAGGCCAATTCACTACAACCCCCGCGAGACCCATCACACGCAGCACTGTCTAAACAGCCGTCGCCCCCCCCCACTCCCTCCCACCCCCTCCCACCCCACGTGGCCCCATCTATGTTCAGGAGCTATTAATGCCAATGTCGAGGTCCGCTGGCCGCGACGAGGGCATCGGGAGAGGGTCGGTGTCTTCCTGGTTCTTTCGGTAAAGTCACGTAGAATAGAAATAATAAGAGTCTCGACAGACCTGCTCTCCACCTGAGGACGGCTGCTTGCGTTGTGGCCGAAACGTCGTGAGAATTATTTTATGATGTTTTATTTTTATTATTTTATTATTTCCATTCTACGTGACTTTACCGAAAGAACCAAGAAGATGAATCTCTGCAGTCACGAAAGCTTTAAATCGAAAAGGGTCGGTGTCGTTTTGCTGTCCCTCCCCCTTTGCAGACTGCAGTGGTCACGGTCCATTGTTTGGGTTGCGTGGCCACAATCGCACGACTGTGACTTGTGCCTTTAATTTTGCGTGAACGAAAGAGATGGGCGCAGCGGGCTAATGTTGATGTCCCGATGCTGTTGATGGTCACATCTGTGTCTTCGAGGAGGAGGGGGAGGAGGAATGCAAAAGCCAGGATGAGCGATGTTTGGGTCTCCATTGAGGTGCTTATTCTGGATGTCCACGTTCAGGTTAAAGCAAAAGACGATGCAGGAAATGGCACGCCGAATCTCAATGGAGCCCTCACCCGTGTTAAATAAAGGACATCAATCAACGGGGATGATGATGCATCTCAAATGGCCTCTCGCGTAGTTAAATAAAGAATATTAATCAATCAAAGGATGTTCGCACACACGTGGGAGTATTAAACACACATGATACTGCTGTAGGTACACGCCAGTATATTCTATCATACACACGAGGTTATTACGTACACTCATATGAGAGAAACGATACACACACAATACAAAGATCCCCCATATAGCCTTTAACTTGCCGTTGGAGCAAGTGCTCGGTGCACTTTGAGGCAACGTGAAGTGTCGAAGGTTCGCTGGCATGAGATCACGGGACAGGTCCCGGTATTTTGGGTTGTCTGGCCGCGATGACTGTCAGATGCACCAACTGTGCTCCCCACTGTGCCACCTTGCTGCGTTTTAGTCGCCGGCGCTCCGCTCGTTGTTGTGAGCGTCGCTCTTCCGCCCTCCGCTGTTGTTGGAGAGCGAATGCCTCCGGACTGCCCAGGAGCGTCGTTCGCGAAACCTCCTCCACAGAAGCCGATCTTGACACCGCTGCTACCGGTCTTCGTCAAGCAAATCAAACACAAAGACAACAAAGACACCCAAGATAGCGGATCCCACGTTAAAGACCGACGACACAACACACGAGGGCTGTGCTCGGCCGCCTTTGTCTCCCGGGTGCCGATGTTTGACACACCACCGCACCAGGGTACGCATTTGAGGTTGAGTCGACCTAGGGGAGGCCCAGGACCGGTTCGGATAATCGTCACCGGTGTTGGTGGCCGGCGAGCGAGGATCGATCTCGTGGCCCGTCGGGTTCCATAGCGCAGCGCAGCGCTAACCGCTAGACTGGCGCGCGTGCACGCGCGCGCGCGCGCACGGAGAGGAGGATGTACACGCGCGGGACAGCGATGCCTAATTCATCATCGCACAAAGGGGCCACCTCCCGCACTCACGCAACAACACGCCTCAGCCGAAGCCATTCGTGAAAATTCCACGACGGATCGCAACGCCACCACCATCATCATCAGGACCATCGTCATCATCGTCACCACCACCACCACCATCGCTACCATCATCATCATCACCACCACCATCGCTACCATCATCATCATAAACGAGGTGCGAGGAGGCGTTGGACGACCCGGGGAAAGGTGACAGGCGACTCGGTGCTCGCGTGTGTGCACACGTGTGTGTGTGTGTGCGCGCACGTGTGTGTGCGTGCGCACGTGTGTGAATGTGTGTGAGCTCATGTCGTGAGTAATTGTGCGCGTGAATGTGCGGGGGTATCTGTGCACGTGTGGCTGTGCGTGCACTTGCCCCCGCAGTATGCTAAGGATTATACACGGGAGATCTTTGTCTTTTGTATATAAATAGGGGAGCGGTAATCACGCGCGGTCAGCGCGCTGCACTGCGAACCCGAGTTGGATTCCCGCTCACGGCCAATGCCAGTGACGATTATGTGAACCGTGCCTGGTACTGTGTGTAAACATCACCACTGGGGGAGACAAAGGCTGCCGGGCGTGGTGCTGGCCACACTTCTCTTCGAGTGCCGTACTGGCTTTGATAGGTGCTCGCTAACAGCACTTGCCTCCATCAATCTGTTACAGGCTATACGGGGAATCTTTGCCTGCGAATATCTGTTAATGTTGTGTGGTTGGCACAGTGGTTAGCGCGCTGCCGTCTGAACTCGGTCACCTGAGTTCGTTTCCAGGCCACGGCTGTTGTCCGCGGCGAGTGATATCTAAACTGGTGCTGGGCTTCCCCTAGGTCTACTCAGCCTTAAATAAGTAGGGCTATGCCACGGTTGGATACGTGTAACATCACTGACTTGGCAAAGGCGATCTGGCGTTGTACCACATCATCCACTACCTATTAAGGATGCTGTGTCCTTAATAGGTGCTCGCTAACATGTGGTTGTTGTGGTGTGGTTATTGTTGTTGTGTGATGTGGTTGCTGTTACGTGATGTGGTTGTTGATGTTGTGTAATTGTTGTGTGATGTGGCTGTTGTTGTATGATGTGGTTGTTGTGTGATGTGATGTTTGTTCTTGTGTGACGTGGTTGTTGTTGTCTGATGTGTTGGTGGTTTTGTGTTATGTGGTGGTTGTTGTGTGATGGTTGTTGTGTGATGTGCTGATTGTTGTTGTTGTGTGATGTGGTGGTGGTTGTTGTGTGATGGTTGTTGTGTGATGTGCTGATTGTTGTTGTTGTGTGATGTGGTGTCAGACCACGCGTCTCCTCCTGGACTGCTGAGCGGCGTGAGGCTGTTAAGGCGAAGCGGTGCTCATAGGAAAAGCGATCTCCCTGCACACAAGACGAACTACTTTTACCATCACCACCATCGCGAGCGTCACCCACCATCAACCACCGCCACCACCAAAAAATCCACGACCGCGGCCGATGTGATGTGACTTCCTTGGCGACGTCAAGACAGCGCAACGGTGGATAGAGCATCTCCCATCGTCCCAAATCGGGACCTACGTGGAGTATGGTGTCATAACGGATCGCAGGAACATCTCTGGAGGTGAGCACTGCCCTCGTCGGGACGATGGGCATTGTGTAACTTGATAAGGGACCGTTCGTGAATAATACCGCGGCCTTAGAAGAAAACAATCGGCGACGTTTCGGTCAATGGTCCTTCATCGTAGCAACGGCCCCTTCATTCAGAATCAGAACCTTTGTTTAGACTGGAGAAATCCGGTGAGCTGTGAAGCTCTTTCTTCACGGCGGCGGGTCAGAACGTTACAAACAATATTGACGTGATATGAAGGAGGGTCGTTGCTCGAATCGTCGCCGATTATATATACACATCTTTTTGTTAAGTCAACGGAGTTATTGACACCTAACTTGTAGATTTTTGTTGTTGTTGTTGTTAATTGTGCTTTGTGCGCGCTACTGCCAACGCAGCAGCGTCACAATATAATTTGTTTGATTTTAATTCAGCGCCTGGCGCGAGGCTTAAATGTGGCCAACGGTGGAGGCTTGAGGCTGACCCCCCTGGAGAGTGAAACGAACGACCCCAGGGGCTGTCATTATTATTTTTATGGCGACCAAAATTCGAAAATGTTTGGATTATTTTTTGTTACAATCGTGGAACTCGACTGCAATTGTGTACACGTTGTCTTTCGAACCCTTCTAGACCATGGCCATACTTTACATCAGTCGCGATGCATATAATAGACTGTGTGCATACGACATAGATGCAGTATTTTTGAGAACGTTGTCAATCCGCTGCTGAATTGATGCATCTCCACCACGCCGTGTCGCTCACGGGCGGGGGGGGGGTAGTTGTTACACCATACTTCACCACGCTGGTCAGTGCGGGTTGGTGAGGCTGGGATGCTGATTAAGATGTCACTTGCGCCACTGATGTATACATTCTCCGTGGCCGGAAATCGAACTCAGGTCACCGGGTTCATAGTGCAATGTCCTCATCGCGGCGCCACCGTTCCTCCCCTCTTCCAGCCGATGTGTTGTGGGCGCGGGGTGTCGATACTATCCATGTAACCACGAGGCGCTTTGGTTGTCGAGATTCGATTTTTTTTGTGAATGAACTTAGCGGACGACCCACGGTGACTCGCCACATGCAACATTTACAAATCGGAAAAAAACATCGATTCTGACACGTGTAATTTGATACGTTCATATTATCGTGAGGTTAAGAATGTATTCATATTAATCAATTAATATTTACACTCTCTGTGGTTCATAGCGTCAGTCATAAAGTGTGTCCTGACTCAAACTATATCTTTGTCGTGCTGAGACATTGGTAGAAATTCCACATTCTCATGGCGGAGCCATGACATCCAAAAGCCAACCACTGCTGACTTCCCAGAAAGTGGTACTCATTTTGTGAACTGCATGGAGATAACGTTGGTGATGATGCAGATGATGATGATGGATTGTTATCGTCATTGCACTGCTTGGGATATTAATTAAGTACTCTTTCACCCAAAAGTGGATAGACCACGGCTGATGATGACGATTTATTGTAGCATCACAGGACTATCAGGCATGGTGACGGCGTGATGAGACGTTTATCCAGCAGTTGGTGGACCGTGCCTGATGATTATAATGATGATGGATTGTAGAATTGAATGACCGTGATTAATGGCTATTGTGTGAGGAGAGCTTAAGTCCAGCAGTGGAGTGAGCATGACTGATGATGTAGATGATGATGTTTATGATCTGATCAGCCCCCACTCACCCAGCCCCCACTCACCCAGCCCCCCCCCCCACTCACCCAGCCCTCACTCACTCTTTCCTCCTCCCTCCGCGTGTCCATTTCTCGCAGCCCGTGGAATTCATTGAGGGTTGGAATAGGAGGAGGGTGGGAGCAGAAAATACGGTTGGAGCAGTCGGTGGAAGCAGTAGACAGGGTGGAAGCAGGGGCAGGGAGCAGGGGGTCCGGTGGAATCAGAGACAGGGTGGGAGCAGAGAATAGGGTGGGAACAGAGTACCGAGTATAGTGGAGGGTGAGAACAGGAGGCAGGGCTGGCAGCAAGGGGGGAGGCAGCAGAGGCGAGAGTGGGAGCAGAGCGAGGGAACAGGGGAGGGAGCAGGGGGGCGAAGGGAGGAGTTTGGGCAGAGGGAGGGAGCAGAGGCCTGAGAACAGAAGGAGGGAGCAGAGGCGAGAGAGGGAGCAGGGGGAGGGGAGCGCGGAGCATGGAGCCGGTCTTCTCGCCGGACGCGGTGGCTGCTTTCGTGGCGGATCAACGGGACGAAAGGGAGGAGTCGGTGCTCGCGGCCATCGGGATAACGGCGACGGTGCTGAACCTCCTCGTCATCATCTTCGTCTACATCTACAACACGGCCTCGTGACTCCATCGTTATCCCTCGTCACCATCACCGTCGTTGTCAGAAGCGACAGCAGAAGCAGCAGCAGCATCCCTAGGAGGATTAGCATTCGTGGACGGGCGCCATGAACCCGAAGCATCGCCGCCACCATCATCATCAACAGTGGACATTATCGCCGCCTGTTGCAGAGTCTCGCGGTTCGAATCCGCGAGGCCGGCCTGGTTAATACTGCGGGTGTATCAACCTCACTGGCGGATGTTGTGGATCCCATGACGCCATTCGGAACGAGTAGGTCATTCCGTGCCGGCGTCGTGGTCCACATTTGGCAATTTTTTGACAAAATCTTACACCGCAAATGTCTTGATTGGGAAACGCAATGGCAATGGTTGCCACGACTGCAAACAACTTATCAGGACCCTCATGAATAAGAATCTGGAGTCTCAGTAAGGATTGTATGGGTGGACATGTGTATTAAAAATCATCATTAAACCTGGAGCCTCCATCTCGGCCACGTGCCATGCACCCGCACCCCGACTCCAACTATAACGCCAGCAACTAGGGGGGGGGATTCCCAGCAACTCGAGGGTGCGAGGGGGCAACACTGTATCCCATACACATGAAAAAATATTCTGTGTTTTCCTGGCGAACAAGGGTATGAAATCTCCTCGACGCTCACGGGAAGGGAGTTTCACATTTGTCTCGTGATCCACGAACCCTCGCATGAACAGTTCCGGGTCAGAGGTCACGGTCATAGCCACCACCGACCAACTAAACAAAGGACACCGACTCAACATACATACACACAAACACACACACGCAGTGGACAATGCACGTGTCTTAATGCTCAAAGAATATTGGATGGGCATCGCATCCCATGGGAGTATCTATCCAGCGGTGGAAATGACACATCCCGATGTTCCGATGGACGTGTCTGTGTCTCAACACAACCAGCAACAACCGTATTACTGTTGACTTCCCAAAGCCGTGTAACAACGGCCTCACAACGTGGTGCTAAGTTTACCGACCCGGAAAGGATGATGGTCACAATGATGGTGATAATGGAACTCAATTTACGACCACACGGTTGGGATTTGAACTCATTAACCTCTACCGACTGAGCCATAATTTCAGCACTATTCGTGAAGCCTTTATAACCGTGCCAATGTAGAATGCGCGTGCATCATGTGATTCATTGTTTGTCTCGAGCCACGGCAATAATATTGGGCTTCCCAGTGTCAAACACAGTGAAACAAATTCGTTTGAAAGGAGATTTTTTTTAAATCGATGATTTAATCTAATAGCGAATGTGGACCACGACATGAAATCCAATGGGGGGTGGGGGAGGTAGGAGGGGGGAGAGAATTGTTCCACCTCCCGCCGTGCAGCACACAGACAGACTTCGTGATCGATGGAAATGACTGCACAGTACCCGTACTACTATAATTGTGTAATCACATCACGGTATTTGGTGATTTTACTGCTGCGTTGGCAGTGGCGCACGAATACTAATTGTAACAAAACACCGTCGTCAATAACACTGCGTGGCCTTAAAAGGAAAAAAAATACGCGACGTTTTGGGTAATGGCCCTTCTTCACAGAAGGACCATAGCGCAGTACATGTGCTTGCTTTCGACGAAGACTAATTTCCCGACAAAGTCATCGATTATATATTGTTTTATTTTTAAGGCCACACAGTGTGATTGACGAATGTGTTGAGGGTTTTTTTTATATTCGTGTGTTTTTTGTACGAAGGTAAAGAAGAGGTGAGGGTTTTAGACGCCTCTGATCATTCCTAAAATGAAATACAGTACAAGCTCTTAGATGCCTTATTCGTACCGAGCGATTAATCTGCGTGCGCAGGCAGTGCAACTGCACCGGGACCCACGGGCCGGATGGTGTGGGGGGGGGGGGGTCCAGACTATGAAGGTGGGGGGGGGGGCAGGTAGAGAGGAGGGGCTACATTTAATTTATTGCACCAGGGCCCGTGCCAACCACCATCCTCTACTGCAGGGATGGGGAACCTTTTTTTCTGCCAAGGGCCATTTGGATATTTATAACATCATTCGCTGGCCATACAAAAATTATCAACTTAAAAATTTGCCTGTTATATTTGGTCAAAATTTAATTAACTCACCCCTAATGTGATGGCTGGAACTGCTTCTCTTTGGTGAGGCGTGTGATGTTAGCTGGTATTGATGATGTTGCTACTCGCAACTGCTTTTCCAAGTTTGCTCCTAGATTTATTGAATTTCGAGTCCCGCATGCGTTTGCCTTGGCAGGGCCAGAGACTAAATGATTTCGCGGGCCTTGTACGGCCCGCGGGCCGGACGTTCCCTACCCCTGCTGCAGTGTTCTTCATTGCAAGGCCCGCGGGCCACTGGCGTCCTCTGGTGGCCTTTAGTACGTCCCCCGACAAAACACAAATGGTGAGAACAACACCGTCATGTTTTCAAACTCCAATGGCTTCAAAAGTGTGGGAGGCCCTCACACTAATGTCTTATCGGCGAGAGTGGCCCCCCTCTGAAAAATTAGTGAAGAACACTGCTCTACTGGGTCGTGGGTTTTCGAGTTAGAGCCAGGGATAGGTGGGTTCTGACCGACCTTAAACCGGCTCATTGCTTGGCTTATTGGCCATTTAGAGTAGTTTTGTGTCACTGTAAAAGCGGGTCTTAATGGTTGAATCCAAGTGCGGGGCTTTGTATTAAATTTCAATTCCCGTGATGAAATACTGAAGTTACGAAGAATAGATATACAGTAATGAAAATGGTGATGATGTTTACAGTCATTTATATGTCTCTGAGTGTATATAAAAACAGTAACCTAAGTATTGATTACAAATGTACGTGTGTGTGTTTTTAAATTCAGTAATTGAACATATCAATTGTGTGTTGTTAGGAAGTGTCTCTCTGTGGGTATGCTAGCCGTATAGGGCAAGCGTTATGCAAATTTCACTCTTGTGTCAACTGCGTTGGTGTAACGATGCATCGATGAATGGACTAATATCAATTACTAGCCTTTTGTCCATCCAAGGAAGGGTGTGTGTATTGCAGTAAATCTGAAACTTGCAAGCGAAGAGCAGACCGCGACGTCATATTCATTGCATCCATTCGTGTATAATTTGTAAGGCCGCGGTGACACAGACTTATTTCATTTAAAGGTTATAATCCCTTGTTTATCATGACGTCCTTTTTACTTCTATGTCTCAACAGCGTTGCGGAGATCGCGTGACGTGAGAGTTCTGCCTTTGTAGTGAGGGTTGTAAGTTGACGCTGAGGAGGGGGGAGGAGGCGCCTCGCCCCCCCATGTGGAGTGACGTCAGCCACTAATTATTAATTATTAATGGATGGGGGTGTCCATTTTGAGGACGTCACCTGTTCATGATTTTTAATGAGGGGGGCTGTTCGATGTGGAGTGACGTCACCTGCTCATGATTATTAATGAGGGGCGGGCCCATGTGGAGGACGTCAACTGTTCATGATTATTAATGAGGGAGGCTGGTCGACGTTGAGTGACGTCATGCGCGCTACATACTGACATTCTTGGGTAAATATAGTAGTAAATTTAAGCTCACTTGTGCCAGAATCAATGTTTTTTTTTAAACTGTATCCGTTGTATTTGATGGGTTCACGTGACACCCGCAGCCTCTAGAGGCCCCTACATTCATTAGAATGTAAAACATAACAATCGATAAAAAAAATATTGTACACTTGACTCGCGGAAATTAATTAAATCGTTGGGCCAAATGGGGGTGGTAAATCGTTAGATGATCAGGGATTAAGTTTTCACTCAATATGTTCCGGTAATGCTGCTTGCAACTAGCTTGGAATAGGGTTGATCGGCATAAGGCACTACCACTAGGACACAATACAATGTACGCCTCCCCATAATAATCTTATTCTATTATAACCTGCATTCCTATAATAATGCTAATCAAAAGATTGGGTTCAAGACAAAGTCAGGCGGGATGGATGTGACGTGCCCAAAATAAGTTCGTGTAACTAGAGTTCCGGACACTTCCGGCTGCAATGAACCACCGGTTACAACCCTCATGTGTGTGTGTTTATAAGGGAACTCATTGAGGTGTTTTTAAAAAGAAAAGTCTGTTATTTGTACCCGATATAAACGTGTTTGATTGTAGTACATACAGGTATTTTCATATTGAATATGGCAAATGTCGTGCTGCTACATAAAATCAGTGTCCGTGTGTGATACACGACAACCACGTAACACTGTCCGCTGTTTTATTTGCATGTTTTTTTTACTTCAGTCGTCGTAAAAACACGACGACTGAAGTATTGCTTATTAAGTCGTCGATACATGTGTAGTAACATAGAATGAGTCACTGGAGCGCGTAGCACTGAGGACTGGTAGAGAATGGGAGTGGGTGTAGCAGCCCGTTTTACCAATTGGACCTGTGGGCAAAGCCCGGAGCATTCTGGGGGATCCAGAAGGGGGCGTGGCCGAGGGCGGAGCCTGGCTACGCTGGTGGAGGATAAAAGGCGAGCTCTGACTCACAGTCGGGGCTGCTGCCATCTGGAGTGGAACTCGTCGTGCTGTCGTCGTCATGGTCTTCACCTCTTCGAAGCTGTGGATCTGGAA